TCCGTGTGTCTGATCCCCTGTCCTGGCCCTGCCCGCCGAGGAGTTTGCGTTGTCCCGCAGCGTTAAACACGCAGGCACACGAAGGGTCTCCCCCTCTGTGACGCCTGCTGCGGACATTTTCCCACCGTTATGTCATCTGTCTTTTCATCCCACCCCTAACTGGCCACACACGTCGGGCTGGGCTGTAAGAAAATACCACATATATGGGGGACGTGAGCCGCAGGCTCCATTCCTCACGCCTCCGGAGGCTGGGAGCCCAAGGTCAAGGCCTGGCGGAGGGTTCTGGTGGGGCCTGTGTCCTGCCCACGCGTGGCCTCCCCGGCCCTGTGGTGGCCCTCCTGCCTGCCGGAGCCTTCGCCCCCTCCCGCGGCGCCCCAGACGTCATCACCTGGGGAGTGGGGTCTCAGCCTATGAATTTGGGGGAGACACGTTTCCAGCGTCGTGTGGGTTGTAAAACACTTTTTAATGCAGTCGATCTGTCAGCGACGAGGTTGTGCGGGCCCGCGTGGCCGTGAAACGCCCCCGCGTCGCCCCCGCGCTCCGGCCTTTCATTTTTCACGTTCAGATCTTGTTTGTGGCGCGAGATGGATCTAATTTTATCTTTCTCCAGTGGCCGGTGAGCTGTCCCACCGCCGCTGATTAAAAAGTCCTTCTGTGCCACTGTGATTTAAGAGGCCGCTTTGTCACCGCCGCGTCTCGATTTATAGCCGCCTTTCTCCACTTCCCCTTCTATTCGCGGCTGCTGGGCGGCTGCTGGGTGGGGCCCGGTCCCGTCGCTGGCCGGGCTGCTCCCTGGCGCCCCCGAGCGCGCGCGGGCCTGTTTTTCCAGGAAGAGCTCGCGCATCCCCAGAGAGAAAACGCCCCGTTTTGTTGGGATCGTGTTGCTTTCCCACGGGACTTCAGAGAGAACCGGCACCTCGAGGGCGCCGGGACCCGCGAACCAGGCGCGAGCCTGGGGTCAGCCGGCGCACGTGCTCACGTGTCTTTCTGGAGTGAGTTTTGGGTAGTTTTTAAAATGTGGCTCTTCAGCACCCAGCCGTTCCTGTGAGGTGTGTTCACAGACGGCCGCTTTTTCATGCGGCTCTTGCGGGTGGGCTTTTCTCATCCATGCGTCTTCTGGCGGGACGTTCTGGAGTTGTCAGGTGCATGTGCACGGTCATCTCTAGCTTCCCCCCCAGCACTCGGTGTAGGTCTTGCCCTCTGCGCCACGCTGTGGTTTGAGATCGTCTTGACTGCGAGGCAACTGCAGACACGCGTGGCTCTAAGAAGAGAGCGGAGGCCCTGCCCCTCGTGGCTGTCCCTGGCGGGCGCTGTCTTTGGGGAGCAGCCACTCTGCTTTCACGTCCCACTGGTCACCCTTTTCTGTCACAGCTGAGTCCCCTCCAGCTGCTGCCTGTCCCGTGGGACAGGCTCTGTTCCTCCGCCGTTCCCGGGCTAAGTCCCGCTCTGATGCCTCCTGTCTCGGCTGTGGACAGGACTCCTCAGGGCCGGGTGGGCGGTGGCCACAGACGGCCACGGGCTTGCTTGCTCCCTGCCTCCCCAGGCCCCTGGGGGCTCCCTCGTGCACAGACATGGGCTGGCTTCCCGTGAGTCCCTTTCCTGCCCCGGGGCGTGGGGTTTCCTAGTTACTGGGGAGGGGGCTGCAGCTATGGAGTGGAGGGACAGACAGAGCCCACGGGGAGGGTGGGCTCACCAGCAGCGGGCCCGGACACCCAGACTGGGCTCCGAGGGCAGGGCCTCCTCCGCTGTCGGAGAGGAGCTCAGCAGAAGCTGGCTCAGGGCGTCTCCCAGGAAGCAGGTGGCCCCAGCCCTTCCCCGCTGCAGCCCCAGACTCAGGAGCTGCAACCTTGCTCCTCCGGCCACCGTCGGGTGAGGTCTGCTTTGCAGCGAGGGCCATGACCCTGCACCAGCCGAGGAGGTCAGGGCGGGAGGGCGGGTGCCGCTCAGTAGCTTCTTGGCAGCTGAGCTCACACCCAGACCCACCCTCCGTGAGTGGCTACGGTGACAAACCACCAGGAACTGTGTGACTTAGAGCACTGGGCGTTTCTTCTCACCGTCCTGGATGCCACAGACACAAGATAGCTTCCTTGGGGCTCCAGGGTGGGGCTTCCTGCCGCTCTCGGGCCCTGGGGCTGTGTCGTCCTTGGCTGGGCAGCATCACTGCAGCCTCTGCCCGTCTGGCCTACTGTCACGATGACACTGGTTCCTCCCCCGATAACTCCTTGCTTTGACAGGGCTCCTTTTCTCAGCTCAGGGCAGGGCTGCGGGGCCGGGGGCAGGGATGGGAGATCTTTCTGAGGGCCACCCTCCAGCTCCCAGACCTGGCTGGCAGCCCCCAGGGCCCCCTGCCTGTGCCGTTGGCAGCTCACAGGGTGGGCCTCCGCCACAGCCTGCCTCCCCATCTGAGGGTGATCCTTTGGACTTTTGAATACTGTTTGTTATAATTAAAAGTCTATGCAGGGACAATTCGATATGGTTTTCTTTTTAGCTTGATGAAATCACACACAACTTGGCAGGATGAGAAATTGTCAAGTGGCCTATCAGCTGGTCAGCTCCGGTGCCGGCTTCACCAGCGGCAGGGCTTTGTGGCCTGGATTAGCCAGTTGGCTGCTCTTGCCCTACCCGCAGGCTTGGACGCTGCACCCATCTTCTACTTACAGTGGGCGGCGCCGTCTCCCCTGCAGCGTCTGCAGCTGGCTGGCGCAGGGTGCTGGCTAGTTAAGTGGAATTACCCCCAGGCCCCGATTGTCCCACCAGTCTGCAAGCAGCGATCAGCAACACTGTCGTGTCTTCCTGTCAGAGCTGCGAAAACAGAGGCAGGAGAGCGGACCTTTGCGTAGCTGACACCTCACAGGGAAGAGAGCGGTGGGGACTAGAACACCCAAGGAGCTGTGAGACGGGAGAATCGGGTGCCACAACCCCTAGTTTGGAAAATTAAACCAGCAGGAGTTGTACAAATGGCACGAGAACTTGGGTACGTGTTTTATTTTGACGTAACACACTGGCGCATCTTTGAGCTGCCTGTTGGCCAGCTCGGCCCGCGCACTGACTTCCTACAGTTGTCTTGTTGCGTTTACAGTAGATTCACTTCAAACGGTGGTGATCCTGTCACCCCGTCGCAGCATGTGGTGGTTCCGCGGTGTGGTTGTCGCCATTTTTGGGCTGACAGGGGCACAGGCCGACGTGGGTCTGTGCCCGAAGCCGTTGGGAGCGTGCGGGGACGTGCGTGTGCTCAGGCGTCTTACTCTGCCCGAGCTTCAGGATGTCCTGGGCTGAAGGTGCCCTGGCCCCTGCTCGCCCCTGGGATGGGAGCAAATGGTGCAGCCGCCCGACCCTGGTGGCTCGGTCTGGGGCACCCGGTCCCGCTGATTTCATCCCGGCTGCTGGAAGGTCCAGCTAGGAAGCCCCAGGGAAGAGAGAGGAATTCAAAGCCAGATGCTGAGTCCATGTTTCCCCACGTGGATATACAGGATGGGAGAGTGCCTGGCCAGGAACAGTCTGGAAAGAATGCGTGCCGACGCCTTCCTGTGTGGGGCCCGCCCAGGCCTGGCTGCGGTTGAGCCCAGTTAACTGCTGAGCCTCTCTGTCCGATTCCAGCCTGAGTTGGTATGTGTGTGCACGCGCACGTGTGTGGGTGTGCCTGTGCGTGCGTGCCTGGCCCCTGCCTGGACCCCAGTGCTATCGCGGCTTGCTCACCCTTGGCCAGTTGCATGAGCAGGGCCTGTTGGGACCCTCGGCGTCCTCCCTGGCTGGGGACGCAGCTCGGCCAAGGGCCCCTGCCATTCCCTTTCCCGGGGACAGTGCTCTCGGTGCCACGGGCAGGGTGTGGGGCCCCGTCCTTGCTGAGTGTGAGTCCCCTGCCCCGTGACCGTGGCCCAAGCAGTGAGACCCACCCGCTCTTGTGCCCTTGGCTGGTGGCCAAGCAGGATGAGGCCCTGGACCCGCCGCCTCCCCAGCCGGGGGCACCTACCTGGTTCTTTGGCTCCTCACTCTGTGGGGTGCAGATGGCTGTTGCCCGTGGAGAGGGTGTTGGAAGTGAAATGCTGTGCACATACTGCCCCCTGGGGTGCTTCTCCACTGAGGCTGGGATCTCAGGGTGGGGTGGACCGGCTGCTCCCCAGATCTGGGCGATTTCAGCCTGACTCTGGCTGGTATTCTGTGTTCCTGGGCCTCGTAGTGCCCTTGCTGGTCTTGGGTGGACCCACGGGGAACCCACGTGCTCCAGGGCGCCCGATGTCTGCCCGCCGGCACCTCGGGCAGAGCCGGCTGTTTCTGCAAGAGGTTAAATCCAAGTCACCAGCTCAGCCGGGCAGGGGCAGCGCCCAGCCCAGGCCCAGCGTTCAGCTGTAGTCTTCCTTCTTTTGTGAACGAGCAGCTGAAAGCAGTTCCTTTAAAACACGGCTGAGCCAAACCCTGGAACCTTGCATTTCTTTAAACGTGCCTGAGTCCTCGAGCTTAGTGTCCTCGTGCCTTTCACTCGGCCGGTGACGTAGAGAAGGAGAAAAGAAGCAACACCTGGCGTCCCACCTGCCAGAGTCCTGGTCACACAGTCACACATGCGGAACCCGCCGCCACGCCCCCCATACTGCTGGGAAGGCGTGCAGGTGGCCTGTGCCCAGGGCCCACGTGTGTTCTTGTGGAGTCTGCAAGCCTCTAGTCCGTAAGCCTGTGCCTGCCTTTCCTGGTGGGTCTGGGTGGGCACGGCGGGTCCAAATTGCAGGACGATCCCATGGGTTGGGAAGTGTCATGCAGGGGGCTGGTCCGTAGATGGGGCACGCTGCTGCCCTGGGTCAGGAAAGGAACTCCGTTGGGCCCCAGGCAGCCGTGGGGTCTCAAGGGAGCAGGGCCTCCTCCTTCCTTGGTTCCATGCCTTGTAAGCAGGACGTGCCGGTCCCGCCTCTCCCTGCTGCTGCCCACTGGAGCCTCGTGTCAGGTCTGGAAGTGCTGCCCGCCCTGGCCGGCTGCGCTGGTAACTCCGACCTGTCTTGTCTCTGTCGCAGGCTGCTCCCGTGCCCTCGCTGTCCAGCCTGGCCTACATGCACGTGATCCGCTGGGCCGTCTGGAGGCCCTCACTGGAGGCCAGCTCTGGGCGGGTGAGCTTGCCGCTGCTGGGTGGCGTCCGGCCCAACCCCTCGCGCCGCCTGGTCTACAAGGTGCCCTCGGCCAGCATGAGCTCCGAAGAGGTAGGTAGTCCTTGGCTGTTCTGTAAGTGTCAGCCTGTGCCGTGGGTGGCTCCAAGCGTGTGCATTTGCAAAACTAGAAGTGGAGGAACACGTTCACACAGGAGCAGAAGGGCTCGGGTCGTGGAGCTGCCCTTGGATACGGAGGAGGCCAGCTCTGCTCCGTCCTCATGAAGTCCCCAGCCTCCCCAGGCGCCCTGCTGGGCCCCCGTGCTCTGTATCTTCACGAAGACTCGGGAAAGGGTTTGCTGCGCTGGCAGCTGGCCTTGTGGCCGAGCCTTGGGGAGCCAGGTGGCTGGGCCCAGCCCGGGCTCATCAGCTGACTTGTCACGGCATCCCCTGGGCCTCGACTCTCTCTAGCTGTGTCCGGAGAGCCAGGGAGATTCAAAAAACCCACCCTTCAAACGAAGCTTTCTCTGAACTCCAGTCTAGAAAGCCAGTCTAGAAAGGAGGGTCGGGCAGCAGAAGTGTGTGTGTGAGGGCCCCGGCCCATCAGCCTTGGAGGATGGGTCGGTGTGGCCCTGCATGGCGCCTCCGCTCCGGGGCATCCAGCCATCCGGTGCATGCTGGGCGCTCCTCCCAGGGGCCAGCTTCCCCCTGTGGCCTCCACCTGACGCGCTGGTTGTTGGGGTGTGCTGCGGCCGCCAGGCCCTTTGACTCACTCTCTTCGGGAGAGGGGCTGGCGCGCTCCTGCCGTATCTATTGTCTGGGTGCTGCTCTGGTGACAGACATGGTTTCGGTGTTGTTATTTATGATTTGGATAATGCTTTGGAGACCTGAGCAAGGAACGCTGATGGTGCAGCTTTCTTATTATGAGGAATGTCTCTCATTACAGGCTCCGCTTCCGCCGTCCCGCGCGGGCTGGTTTGCGCCCTGATTATGAAACTCCTTCAGAAATCCTGGCACCTGTGCTGCTCGCACATCTTCTCTCTCACACCTCCCGGCCCCCCGAAGGCCCCCGTATATAAATATTTGCTCTGTTTTATTTTAGTCTTCTCATGCCCCTGGGCTTCGCCCACTTTTAAGTACGTGAGCTGCGTGGGGCATGGTGGTGTGGAGGGCCACCCGCCTCAAGGACGCGGGCTGCCATTTCTCACAGGAGCGGCAGCTCTAATCAGGGCTCCTCAGCCTCAGCACTTGGCATCCTGGTGAACTCGTTCTTTGCTCTGGGGTCGTCCTCAGCATTGGAGGGAGTTTCCTGGCTCCCTGGCTCTGTCCTTAAATGCCACTATGCCCCGCCCACCTCCCAAAGACACAGCCCAGAATGTCTGCAGACTTCGCTGAATGTCTCCTGGCTGCAAAGTTGCCCCCAGTTGAGGACCACTAGTCGCTAAGCCAGAAGGAGCTCAAGTAACGAACTAAATGGCGGTGAATGTGACTCTCCTGCACTCTAAAACACACTTCCCCCTCCTGCATTTCCTCTCCTACTTCATGGGCCACCACCCCAAGTCAGGGAGACTGGAGACCGAGGGGTGCCTGTCCTCTGCCCCTCACCAGCCTCCTTTATTTTATTCATTTATCCCACGAACTTTCACTGAGCGCCCACAGCTGCTCGTGGAAGACAACCCCTCAGCTGTGGGGCTTACAGGGGGCATGCAGTTATCAGGTAAGGGAAAACAGAAATATTGTTGTATTATTAGTGCCCCATGGTTTTTGCCTAAGTAAAAATTGAGGTTATGTTGTGGTTATTTCAGTATTATTTAAAGAATGTTATGATTATGTTTTCTTTCTATAAACAACTTCTGTCTTTTTTCCTTGAGCAAATAATTGTCTTTTTAAAAACAATTTATAGCTCCAGAGGCGGCAGCCACTTTCCAGTCATGTTGTGACTTGTTGCGTTTGCTGTCTCCTAAATATCACGCTTCTCCCGCTGCTTAGCGTTCGCCAGCCTCTGATGTTATATATGGATGCCCAGTAGTGACAGATGAGGATGTTACCATCTTCACACACTCCTGCCCTTCTTTACGAAAAACCACTCTGTCAGAAAAAAAAAAATAACAATAAAAACAAAACAAAATTAGGGCCTCCCCGGTGGCGCAGCGGTTTTGCGCTGGGTTGCGAGGCTGCCCGCAGCCTCTGCGGCGCCGGTTCGATCCCCAGCTGCTCCCGCGGCCACCGGAGGAGGGTCCCACATGGCGCGCGGACCTCTCCTGCCGCCCGCTGCTCCCCTCAGCAGTGTACTTCGGTCCTTCTGCCTGCTCTGCTCCCCACTCTGGCTCTGGTGAATTCTCTCACCCTCCCGTGCTTCTGACTGTACCCAGTGCATGTATAAACAAAACACAAAACAAACAAATAAAATAAATAAACAAACATGCCTCTATTAAAAAAAAAAAAGATTTAAAAAAAAACAAAACAAAACAAAATTAGCAGGCAACTATAAATCAGAGACATTCTGCAGGGGAGGGGGAGGGAGAGGGATCATAGCAGGGGAGGGAGGAGCACAGGGGACTATGGTGATGGTGCAGGGGCGAATTGCTGGTGGGAGTTCTGTGGGAACTACACTGGGAGGAGAAAGCAAACATTGTACAAAAATGAACAATGATGTAAGAGGTATATAAACAAATTATATATGTGAAAAGAAAGTGAAAAAAAAATAAGAAAAATACTCTGTCCTCCCACTGCCTGGTCTTGGACTCAGGAACAGTCACAGGAATTCTGCAGCACTGGAGGGGCTCGGGGGGTGTTGGCTAGAGCTCCAGGCACCTGCAAAGCTCCAGGAGAGTGTGGAGAGAGAGGAGCTTGGAGAGCAGCCCCATAGGTTATTTAAGAGGCCCTGGGCAAGCCCCAAAGCTGCACGTGGCTCTCACAGCACACAAGTCTTGAGACTGAGCTGCGGACGCACTGCCAGCTGGGCTCCGCGGGCACAGGCCTGCATGGGCAGAGAGATCGGGGCTGGCACAGAAGGCACGACCCCCAGAAGGCTGGTCGGAACGGAGTCAGAACACACCTGGGCTGATTCCTGAAATATCAACATTCTCCACAGCATTTGAACAAGACTCAGTGTCACAATGTAATATGAAAACACACTCTAAAGTTAATCAGTACACACAGAACCAGAAAAACCCCAGCTTGCAGGGAGCAGACATACCCCAGACAGAAATGTTGGAATTATTGAAGACTTTAAAGCAGGCATTACAGAAATTCTCCAGCAAATAAGAATGGATACCTTTGAAACAAACGGGAACCAGAAAACCTCGGCCAAGAGAGAAGATACAAAAAAGAGGCAGATGGAAGTTTCAGAACTGAAAGATGAAATAACCCAAATTTAAAAATTCAGTAAGTAGGTTCAATAGCAAAATGGAGATGACAGCAGTGTCAGTGAGTGTGAAGATAAATCAATAGATTTATCTAACCTGAACTGCAGGGAGAAAAATGGTTGGAACACAGTAGACAGTGCCTCAGGATGGGGGACCACCCCACAGAGGCAAGCCCTGCATCAGTAGAACTCCAGCAGAGCGGGAGGAGTACACGGCAGAAAGAACGTTTGAAGAAATGACTGAAAACTCCCCATGCTTGGCAAAGGCCTACACATCGAATGAGGGAACCTCAGAGATGAATGCAAAGAAATCCACACCTAGATACCTCATAATCAAACTGCTGCAAAGACAAGACAGGGCATCTTGAAAGCATCACAGGGAAACGATGCATTTCTTATAGAGAAACAGAGATTTGAATGACTGGCTTTCCCGTCAGAAATCACGGAGGCCAGAGGCTGTGAATCAGCACGGCAAACACCGTAAATACAGCAGCAGAAAGACCCGGGGCCCAGGACTCTGCAACCAGCAAAAAACACTGCAGGTATGAAGTGAAATGGACATTTTCAGGTGAGTTAAAATGGAGAGAATTCACTGGCAGTGGACGTGCTGTAAAAGAAGGAATTTCTTCAGACAGAGGAGAAGGGAAACCACGTGGGAGCTTGGTATATCAGGAATGAAGAAAGAGCAGCAGCAACAATAAATATAAAAAGTATTCTCCACTTCTCGAGTCCTTTAAAATGTTTGATGGTTGAAGCAAAAATCCTAACAACATCTGATAGGATTTTTAAGCTGTGTGGATGGGATGGGTAAGACAACTCTCATGTGAAGAGACCTGTGTGGGGAGAAGGTTTCTCCATTCCACCCAAAGCAATAAAAAATTGATTCTGAGCAGGCTGTGAAAAGTTAAATATTTACATTAGCCACCCCGGAGCGATCACTGAAAATAAGATACAAAGGGAGAGTGAAAAAACCAATAGATAGATAAAATGGAATAATTCAAAATGAGACAGGAAAGGAGAAACAGGAACAAAAACAGAAGGAACAGATAATAAACGGTAGTCCTGGAGCCAAACAGCAATAATTGCGCCAAATGTAGATAGTTTAAACACACCAATTTAAAGATAGAGATTGTCAGGTTGCATTGAATAATCAAGGTCTAGCTATGCGCCGTCCACCAGGAACTCATTTCAAATACAGCGACACAGGTAAATGAAACATTGAAAGATTGGGAAAACATTCCTTGAAAACACTAATTAAGAGAAGTAGCTATGCTAATACCAGGTAAAGGTGACTACAGACAAAGGACATTTCCAGAAATTAAGCCTGTGAGAGGAATGGTGAGGCTCACTCTCCAGGCCAGTAGGTGGTGCTGAGAGCAACTCAATGGTAGAAGGGGGAGCTCTCCGGACTCTGCTCCCTGGCCGCTTTGCAGACTCCACGCCTGAGTGGGGGCTGATGGGAAAGAGGGGCAGAGCTGGGGCCTTGACAGTTGAACCTCTGTGAGGAGGCGTGTCTGGAGAGGCTGCCATATTGCCACGCGTGGCTTCAGCTGAGACCTTGGCCTCTGCTCAGTGGATGCTACCTGGGATAGGACGGATGGCATGTGGCCTCATGCCAGCCTGTGAATAGTCTCTCTCTCTCCCCCTGTGTAAACAAGTCCTGTTATTGTTTCTCTTAGCGGCGAAACACACTGCTAAGGGGCGCAGTGGGCGAGACAGGAGAGGTCTGCTATGCCGTATGTGAGTTAGTTCCCTGGCTGGGATTGAACTTAGGCCATAGCGGTAATAGCGCTAACACTTAACCCCTAGGCCAATAGGTAGGCCCAAAACAATCCATTTTAAAATAAACCACAAGTCAAAGAGGAAGAAGCCTCAAGAGAAAATGAAGGTATTTTGAATGGCACAGAAATGAAAATACAACATAGTAAAATTTAGGATGTAGCTAAAGTGTGCTTCCATGGAAAATTATAAGTTAAATGCTTATATTAGGACAATGATATAAGCAAACCGAAGAATTCAACAATAAAGATAAGAGCAGAAACCAATGAAATTGAAAACAGAAAAATAGGAAAAAAAAAGACAAAAGCAGTGGAGCAAAAAACTGATTTTTGGCAAAGATAAATAAAATCGATTAACCTCTAAGAGGCCTGAAAAGGGAAAAAGGAAGAGCAGATACTATGACTGTTAGGAATGGAGCTGGGACACCGCTGCAGACCTCACAGGCGTGAAGAGCACATTGACAGAACAGTTCTGTGCTCAAATGTTGAACAGTTCAGATGAAATGAATCAGCCCATAGTAACTAGCAAATCTCATCCAAGATGAAGTCGGTCACCTAATAGTCCTCTGTTATGGAAATTGAATTCATAATCCAAAAAACTTTTGCATAAATAGCCAGGCCTGGCCAGAATTCACTGTGCATTCTACTAAACGTTTAAGAAATAACGACCATTTTATATAATCTTCTAGAAAATGGAAGAGCTGGGAACAATTCCCAACTCATGTAACGAGCCCAGCACTACTCTGAAACCAAACCAGAAAAAGACAATCTGTGGACACGTTTCCCTCATGAACATGGATGCAAAATTCTCAGCCAAATGTCAGCAGATTGAATCCAGGAATATGACATAAAAAGAACACTCTGCCATAATCAAGTTGGGCTGATTCCCGGGCCACGAGGCTGGTTCCTCGCTGGCCATCAGTAAACGTAATTCAACGTGACATTAACAGTGACGACCCAAGGAGGAAACACTTCATGGGAGCAACTGATGCAGAAAAAGCGTTTGGCAAAACTTAGTGTCCATTTATGATACAAACTCTGAGCAGACAGTGCTGGAGAGGCTTGCTCCTGACCGTCCGGGGCAGCCACAAGGCCCTGCAGTTTGAGTGGTGAGACAGGGCAGGCATCCCCCGAAATTCAGCTGCGAGTAGAGGGGGCCCCCCCGCTTGCACTCCGCGTCCTGCTCAACACTGCCAGAGTGATAAGGCAAGAAAACAAAATAGAAGGCATAGTGGTTGGAACAGGAGGAGCCAAACCGCCCGTCTTTGCAGTCCCCGTAATGGCGTCGGTAGATACGCCCGGAGCCTGCAGCAAACGCGCTGAGTGAGAGAGCGGCTGCGGGAGACGGCAGGCGGCGAGAGGGCCAGCCCTTCGTGGCTCCCCCTGCTAGCGGTGAGCTCGCGGGCAGGCAGGTCTGAACAGCAGTGCAGTTTACAAAGCCTCCCCTCAAAGAAGTAAATCTAACAAAATACGCGTGGGCTGTGTGTAGGGGACTGTGGCGGAGAACCTGACGTGCTCCCTTGGCTGCATGTGGTGCCTCCTTACCAGGCGGCCCAGGGAAACGAGACCTCGTGTGTTCACGGACCGGGAGACGCCATCAGTTTCCCAAGCTGACCTATAGATTTACAGACATTTCAGTCAAACATCACAGCAGGATTTTACTTTTAGGAATAGACAAACTTGTTCTAAAATTTATATATAAAGGCAACGGAATTAGAAGAGTCGGCCAATTTTGTAGAAGAAAGTAGGAGTGTCTGTGAAACATAATTTCGAGCCTTTCTGCACAGCCACAGCGATTAGTGTGAAGTGCCGCCGGTGAAGGCATCGGCACGAATGGAGCAGAAGAGTCCAGAAAGGAGCGAGTCTGCAGCTCTCTGGACCGTGAAATACACGCATGCGTGGGACCCAGAGGTCCTACACCCAGAGAACTGAAATCACGTTCACACGGGGGAGCGCAGGGTGTTGACAGCTCTGTTTATGGACACCCATGCTCGGGAGGGCGGGTGGCCACGCGTGCTGTGGCACGTCACCCACGGGAGCACCACGTGTGGTGGCAAGGACCGCATCTCGGCCGCCCTGGGTGAAAAAGCCAATCCCCAAAGTCACGGGCCTCATCGTTCCACGTGTACAACAGCCTCGAAGAGCCAGCTCCGGGGTGGGGAGCAGCTCCGGGGAGGGCGTTCAGGGCAGGCTGGGGGGCACGGGGGCCGAGCTCGGGCGCTTGGGGTGATGGGGCTGGCTTGTGCCCTGGCTGGACGGGGGCCACGTGCGTCCCAGTCCCAGCCTGCGGCCACGACGTACAAAGTCGTTTCTATATAGGCCGATTAAAGCATGCTCAAGCCTGGGGAAACGTGACTTCTCCTTGCGTGGGTTTCATTCATATCCCAGGAGGTAATTTTCTGCTCAGAAAATTAGTTGATGCTCTGAGAGCACGTGGCCCCCGAACGCCCTGACTGCGCAGACGCTCGTGGGGCGGCTGCTCCTGCAGGAGGAGGCCGACACTGCACTTGTCCACGCAGGTGAAGCAGGTGGAGTCGGGGACGATCCAGTTCCAGTACTCGCTGGACTCCGAAGGACTCCTGGACGCGGCCGACGGGCCCATCAGCAGCCCCCAGGCAGAGCGGCAGCCCAGCAGGAAGCCACCTGTGTCCCCTTCCAGTAAGTGTTTTCGGGGTGCTGACTTTGCAAGCTGGTGGCGTGACTTCCATCTGCTCCCGAGAAAAACGCTTAGGCTGGTAAAATAGCATTTATCAGATAATTGCCGCAGATTGCTTTCATTTACATTGCTTGGTTGGGTTTTCGCTTAATGGGAAGGTGTAGCATTGGACAGTGAGAACGCGCCATCCAGCACCTCGTCGCACGCCTCCGCCAGCCCAGGGCCATGCCGCAGCCTGACCGAGGGCTATGGAAGCTCCCTTGGGGACACCTAGGGGGCATCTGGAGGGGCGCTCGACAGGGCAGCCGCAAACAGAGGGTTCGAGAAGTGGAGGCGGCCGAGAGCCATGGCGGCCAGCTCTGGTTTGAGTTGTTTATGTAGCTGCAAATTTATTGTTTTAAAATCTGGGGAGAAGGTGGCTCTGAGAACGGGGGCGAGGGTCCCCAGCAGGGCCACGGCCTGCCTGAGGGTGGTGAGGTGCCTGCGTCTGTGCAGAGGCTCAGGAGCCATGCGCCTGTCAGCTTTGGGTTTGGTTGACCCAGTGGCCTCTGCTGTGGCCAGTACCAGGTGCCAGGGTCCCAGGGGGGAGTCAACCTTGGTGGAAAAAGGACTAAGGGTTTACGGGGTAAGGGAAATTCACCCTGAAGGAGCATGAAGCCCTGGGCTCTCGGTTTCTAGAGGTCTTGCCAGCTGAAGAATTTTCTAGATCCCAGGTGGCTAGTCTCTTAGAAAGTTAGAATGAAAATAGGGAGACAGAAATTGAATTCCCTTTTCTGGAAAGGAGTTTTCAAGTGTTTAATCTGTGTTGTAGCTGGGAAGTTGGCGGTGGAAAAGAGCAGTGAGTTCTGTTTGAGGACTTTCTGATCCAATTTCCCATAAATGCCACTGCGGGGCCTGCCAGACGTGTGGCGGCGGCTTTGGGTTTGCGTTCCCAGGTGCCCTGTTTGCAGGAGGGGATTTGATTGAGATTTAGAAACTTGCCCATTTGCCTGGAGTTATCCTTTACCTGATTTTTTTTGGGGGGATCATTGAATTTCTTGGGACTCTGGGTTCATCGTTTTCATCCCATTTGGACACTTTCTGGTGATTATTTCTTGGGGTACTTTCTTCCGTCTTCCTCTTCTCTGGACACGTGTCAGGCCGCCTCCGACCTTCTGTTCCCTTGTGTTCAGAGTCTCTCCGTGCCCGGTCTCAGACAGCCCGTCCCCTGCCGCGGCCCTGCCGCGTGGCCTTGCGCTCAGATCCCGTGGCTTCAGCGCAGACGTCTGCAGGTGCCCTTTGCTCTGTGTCCCGCGTCTGACTTTACACGTCCAGCGTTTCCTCCAGCTTCCCGAGCACGGCAGACGTGGTCACGTGTACTTTAGTTCTGAAGTCTTTAGTCTTTGAGCTGTTTGGATCGATGGAGTCCTGGCCCAATTTGGCTTGTGTTTTCCTGTGTTCCTTCATTTTTGGTTAGAGTCTAGATCCTGTGAATTCTCTCTTGTCGGGTGCTGAATATTCTTGGATTTGATAAATACGCTTGAGCTTTGAAAACTGGTCCTTTTGGATGTTGCCCTTGAGGTTGGCCAGATGGGACAGAGCAGCGTGTCCTCCGGGACCCGTCGTTCCAGTAAGCCATGAGAAGCCTTGAGTACTCTGCCCAGAAACAGGACGGGCCTGTTTCTGGCCTCTGCGAGCCCTGGGTGCTGGTCAGGTGGCCCTTCCGGCCTCAGGTAGTTCCCGGACCATGATCTGCTATGTCCTGGGGTGGACTCTGGGGGCTTCTCTCAGGGGCTCAGGATGGCTGGATCCTTCTAGAGACTCAGGGAGAATCGTTTCCTGGTCCTTTCCTGCTTTCTGGATGCCTCTAAGGCACCACATTTTTTGATCCCTCCTCCGTGTGCAGAAGCAGCAGCCTGGGTGTTTGGCTCTCTCTGACCATCACTTACCGGGACCCTGTGCCCTCGCCCCCAGGCCAGATGGCACCTGCCACATCAGGGTCTGCTAACTGGGCCCCTGGTTCCCTGGGCAGCGTGCAGACCCTGGCAGGTCGTCGGCGGGGAGCCTGTTCGGCCCTCCTCGGGGAGCAAGTGGAGGTCGTCGCCAGTGCCCGGATGTGGCCCCCGAGGAAAGTAGGGAAGCGAGCCCTGGTTTCATGTCATGTGGAAAATAGACCCGGGTGGAGAGAAAGCAACCCCTTAGATTGCTTAGAAAATGTTAGAATTCGCAGACTGCAAAGAAGAAAGATTGCAGAAAGATCCTGTAAATCAATAAGAAACAATAAACAGCAGAGAAGAAAAATGGGCCGAGAAGGGAGGAGGCGCCGAGGAGAGGCTGGGACGGCCAATAAACGTGCAGAAGCTTCTCCTCACCGGTAACCACAGAAATGGACAAGAAAACGAGGCGTCGTTTCACGCCCCCGTGTTGGAGAAACCAGATAGCGTGCGGTCAACAAGGGGGTGGCACAGAGGGCACTGGCCCCTCGGGGATGGAGTGCGCCGGGCGGCCGCTCTTCAGAGCGACCGCACCATACTTAGTCCTCACCGGCACAGAGGCAGCTGCGCCCTCTGGGCGAGGCCCGGGCGAGGGCCAAGGCCGGGAAGGATGCCGCCCCCTCCCCGGGGCTGCACGGCAAGCTGACCTGCTTGGGAGGTGGGGGCTGCACGGCAGCTAACGGGGAGGAGATAAACTCACCGGCGTGGCTCCCCTCTCCGACAGCGTTGAGCATGAACATCAGCTTCCGGGGGGCCCGAGGGAGGCGGGAGCGGCAGGCGCCGCGGCGACAGCGGGAGCGAGGTTGGGGTGCACGCGTGCTCACAGGGCGGGCTGGCCGCGGCTGCTCAGGGCCGCGCCGCCTCGCTGCCTGTCAACGGCAGGGCTGCCAGCCCCGAGCAGGAGAAGCAAAACTCGAGACGCCTGAGAAAAGAAGTGTCAGGGTATTTTTATGCCCCGGGGGCCAGAGGCTTTCTCAGACTAGTTCCACAAAGGTAAGTCAGAAGGAAACGACGGAGCAATGGGATGAGGAGAGAAGACTCCTCCGGCGAAGCTAGAGGGTCTCAGGCTGCAGGTGCTCGCGGCTCGCACAGCCGTGAGGGGAGACAGAAGGAAGCCCGTACAGAGCGCGTCCCGGCCGGGTGCGGCCAAACCAAGGCAGACGGGCCGAGGGCGTCAGAGCCGAGGGAGCTGGCGGGGAGCTGCGGCGGGGCCCTGGGCTGGCAGTGCCGAGCTGTCCCCGCGCCGTCGTGCTGCGGCCTCTGCCGTCGCTCGTCACCCTCAGGGCGGCAGCCTGGGGGACAGCGGCGCCTGTTCATGCCTTTCGACCACCGGGCCAGTTAAACACAGGCCCGAAATGTCACTGCGACCAGGGTGGCCGCCAGGGCGTGGCGGGCACCCATCTCCGAGGGGCGACTTCGGCCCCGGCGGCCTTGCTGGGGACAGGCGGCCACCCTGTCAAGGCCGGGGACGTGCGTTTTCTCTGGATCCGGGAGGGGGTGAGGGAGTTCTCTGTCCTTTCCACGCAGCGCGGTGTGAACATAAACTGCCCTGGAAAATTAAGTGCATTTTCAAAAAAAGAGACTAAGCTGGAGGACGAGGTAGAGGTTGACCTGGGGAGGGGGTGCTGCCAGGCTGTCTTGGGCCGGCGTTTATTGCGTCTGTGGCAGCCCCGTCCTGGCCCCGTCTGTGAGCAGACACTGAGCAGGACTCTGGGGACGGAGCTCACCCGGGCGAGCTCACCCCAGGCGGGCTACGGCCCGATCGGGTGGTGTCGCGGAGGTGCCGGGTCCGGCCCTCCCCCAGCTCTCGCCATCTCCTTCCTCCAGGCGTTTGTCCGAGTGCTGCCCTCGCGGCTCCTGGCCCTCCTCGGGGTGGCAGCGCCAACGGGGAGAAGGCCTTCCACCCGCTTTTCCAGGCAACGTCCGGGACGGCCCTCCCTGCCTCTGCCGGCAGACGCGATGGGACGGCGGGGCAGACGGGGCAGGGCCACAGCCTCTGGGGGAGCGGGCCCAGCCCCCAGCCCTGGCCACGAGGGGCCCCGAGGGAAGCCAGGTGGGCTGACTGCTGAGGCAGCCCCGCCCGGCTCGGGGGCCTGGTCTCTCCCGACACGGCCCGGCACCCACCAGCTTCCCAGTGGCCCCTGCCCCTCCTCCTGCCCGGCGAGACAGCACAGGGCAGAGAGGGGCTGGCCCCCCCGAAGCCACAGAGAGTGACCGTGGAGGATGGAGCACTGGTCTTGCACACCCCCACTCCGTGGAGGAGCTCAGAGTGGGGCCCCCTTGGGCCTCTGCCTACCTCTTCCGAGACGAGCATCTCTGGGCCCAGCCAGGGCTCACTCGCCACGTGGAGGCCCAGGGGAGCGGCAGCCTCGCGCTGTGGAGGGTCCTCGCTCTGCTGCAAGCTGCTGGGGGCCGGGCCGGGGCCTGGGGGGTGGCACCCAGGCAGGTGGGCGGCAGCCCCGCCCACTTTCTTGCTGTGGCTCGGGCATCTGCAGCTCAGCGTGGAGGGAACCTGATCCCTTTGCTTTATTGAATTTGGATGTGTGGCTGCCTTCGCCTCCCGCGCTGCGTCCCCGTCAGCCCGGGCTCCACCTGTGAGGGTGCGCCACCCACGCCAGCGCGAGAGACTTACGTCCCCACAGTGTTTAAGTGACGATGGGCCTGTGCAGACGCCAATATTTCACCGGCTCGTAAGGGTCCTCTGGAAGCCTTCACGTCCCAGGCTGTGGCTTTCAGCCTGGAGCTCCGCGCCCCTCGCGAAGCCTCTTCTTTCTGTGGCGTGACGGGGCGCGCCTGCGTGTGCGCCACCAGGGGGCGCCCCGCCCCTAGGTTTCGCGCCTGGCCGTCCCTGACCGCGCGCGCGGGCTTGGGGATGTGGGGGGCCGAGAGTCTCCGCTTGTTCGCTTGGTGGTTTAAACTACGTGTGGAAAGGGTTGCCGGGAAGACGTGACCCTCGTGTTCCTCAGGATGCGTCAGGGAGGTCCTGGCACGACGTGACCTCAGCACTGTGCGGCCCGTGCTCTTGGGTCGTGCGGTCAGGGGTCGTGGAGGATGGGAGGCACCGGCCCCGAGGGCACCCTGGCCTGGCTCCGGTGCGCAGGGCTACCCCCCCCCCCACCGCTCCAGGCCCGGATCCTCGGGCGCCCGGCCTCCTGGGCCGCCTCCAAGTCTTTCAGCAGGAGACCAAGCCCCCCACCCCACCCCGAGACCAGTCCCAGAAGGACTCAGTCCCCCGTTGTCGTGAGCAGAGTCTGGGACGGTGACTTCGGGTGGGCAGCCCACGCCGACTGACCCTGTGGCCAGGGTCTGCGAGGGAGGCGTCCCACTGTCCTCAGCCCGGGCCGCCTGCCCCAGCCTCCGGCTGCTGTCCGTGGTCCTGCCCGCCAGCCCCGGGCCTCCCAGCAGCACTGCCCACAGCCCCGCCCTCCCCCGCAGGACCTTCTCCTGGGCAGTACGACCCTTCAGCTAACCCTGGGCAGGCTCTGCCGGGCAGCGTGTCCCTCTGTGGTGCCCCTCCCTGGCCCTGCCTGCCGTCCGCCTTTCCTCAGTCTCCCCTAGAATGCACAGCCGCGCCTCAGGAGGGCTGCCTGCACGTGGGGCTGGGGCCTCAGGCCGCTTCCCTCTTCCAGGGCTGGTCTGGGGCGGCGGCCAGGCCGGCGTGGTGCCAGGCCCCAGGGCCTCCTCGAGTGCTACTGGGGGTGGCCAGGCCTCCCTCTCTGCCCCTGGCAGGGTCTCCGCAAGACCTCCACTCCCTCCACTCCCACAAGTGCCGTCTGAGACACGAGGCAAAGCGGCCCTGCCCCGGAGCGTGGGCCTGCTTCAGGTTTGCATGGTCCTGCCCAGAGAGCGGGTAGGAGCGGGCCCAGTGGGTGGTGCTGTGTGGCCAGCTGGTGGGCCAGGACCTGTCCCCTGGCCTCCTGGGCCCGCCGCTTCCAGAGCTGACCTGATGTTAGAGAGGCCGGGCACTTCCTTCTCGGCTGACTGTGGTTTCCCGCCAGTTGAGACAGACGGGGGCATGATGGGGTGTCAGCTGCCTCTGGCCTCATGCAGTCAGTGTGGCCCGACGGTGGAGCAGCGAGTGGGGGTGTGCAAGACCACTGCTCCATCCTCCTGCTGCTTCCTGCCCTCTGAAGCTGTGTGGCCAAGACCCAGCCCCCAGCTCCCACAGCCCCCGCTGCCCTGGCCCCATGAAAGCTGCGATGCCTGCTGTTTCAGTGTCAGCTGGCACACCTGGGCCAGAGCCTGGGGTGGGGCACAGGCGGCCTGGGGAGCAGCCTGGCTCGGCGGCCCGTCAGCCTTGCTGACCACTGTCTGTGGCCCAGCCAGGAGTGATTTCTGGATCTGGCAGGACATGCCCTAGCATGACCTTCAAATCACGGTTGAGTTCTCAATGCTCCTGCTTGCTCACGTGCAGAAAGGGCTGGCCCCTCACACTCCACCAGTTGAGCCCCATAGCTCTTGGGGGTGGGGGCCGTGCTCCCCATCCAGACACCCCTACAGGGCCCCCGCTGGCCCTGACGTGGTGCCCTCCAGTCCAGGTTGAGAAGCTGGGTGACCAGCACCCGTGGGACGCTGACAGCTGCCCCAGAGGGCGCTCTCCCCGGCCTGGGCCTCACAGGGTCTGCGGGTCTGGGTTCCCTGGGCCCTGGCGTGCAACCTTCTTAAGCTGCCGGCACCTTCCTGGGCTGTGGTGCCTAGGAGGTGGGTGCGCAGGGCAGAGCAGAGCCTCCTGCAGATGTGCCCAGCCCCGGGACGTGCTCTGGGAAGCGAGGAGCCTCTTGGATTACCCCCTCCCGCCCTTCCTCCCCCACACACACCAGGGCCAGGGGCTCCCGCTCCTGAGTGCCGGGTTTCTCTTCAGGAGGATAATGGAGCCATTTCCTGCAATTTTTCCCTCATTACCAAAATCAGCCTGAGGAGTTTCCAGTCTCCATTTAGGGGAACAAAGTGGGGCCCTGCTGCCGGCTCTCTCTCTCTCGTCCTCAGGCTGTTCTGGGCAGGCTGTGCTGGGGGAGGCACGTCCCCAGACCATGGGGCCCTGCAGGACCCGCTTCTGCTTCTTGCTTCCAGTGAGGGGACCCCTTCCGCACACAAGTGCTCCCTGATATGCTCGCTCCCGCCCCCGAGCGCCCCTCCACGAATGCGGCTCCGCGGCCCCCTGGCTTGTCCTGCAGGAGACTTGGCGTGTCCAGAGGAGCACGTGGGCGCAGGGGGTTTGAGCCCAGCTGCTGGGCAGGGCAGCGAGGCCTGGAGTGGGGGCTTCCTTGGCTGCCTCTGCTTTGCCCTGGACTGGGGGCTTCAGTGCCACGTGACCTGGGGCCTGGGGCTGGTAGAGGGGCTGCTTGTCCTTGCTGGGCGCTGTCTTTCCGGCTGTTGTCTCCCCTTTGCTGCGATCCGAGGGGCGGTGTTGGGTGTCTCTGCTCGGAGCGCTGTGTCTGAGTCGCAGCCCCGGATGCCACTGGGTGGTCCATAGGTGCTGGGTGCTTGCTGTGCCGCCTGGTGCTGTGCACCCTGGCCCCGGGGTGGCACCGTCTGTCCTGGGCCCATGTGGCTGTGCAGGGACCTGGGCCCAGAGGCCACAGGGAGGGAGAGCCACAGGCGGTGGTCATGCCCATGGACCTGACCGACGGGGCCAGGCCTCCACTTATCAGGGGTCCAGTGTGTCCTGAGGTCCATGTGCATGTGTGATGGGCCAGTCTGGACCATGATGGCCGAACCAGGGCTTAGCCAGGGGCTGGAGTGGGTCCAGGCAGGTCAGCCCGGGCTGGTACTGGTGCAACTTGAGACTGTGCAGGTGTGGCTGGCTCAGGACTCCTGCCCAGCCCAAGCGGGGCACCAGGTGCCAGGGAGGGAGGGGAGGCGCCCAGGCCATGGTGAGCCTGACAGCGCCCCCACCCCTTGTGCTTCCTCCCAGGCCCACCAACGCCGCTGCCCCAGGGGCCCGCTGCCCCCCAGGACTCACCTGTGGGACCAGGGGTAAGTCCAAAATCAACTATTTAAAAAGCTGAACAATGCAGCTTTCTAGAATCCTGCAAAGACGCAGCAAAGTCCCTCCCTGCATCTTTGAAACTGCCACTTGTCCTCTTTGCTTTCGAGGTGCTAGGGCAGTCCTGGAAGCAGGAGGGGAGGGGTCCTGGGCTGCGGTGGCAGATGGGGCTCCTCCGCTGCCCTCCTGCCTGTCTGCACCCAGGTCCCAAGGCAAATAAGGCCAGATAACTGGCACACGGTGGCATGGCAGTACCCGGGCACCCACCCAGCTCTGTCTCTGGGCCTGGGCAGCCGGCCTTCCTGAAAGGTCACTGCTCAGGAGCACAGGCCTTCCGGGCCCAAGGGACTCAGACCTCGGTGCTGGCTGGGGCGAGACCCAGTGGGGTTCCTGGGCCAGCTGCCCTGCAGCCCGGGGAACCTGCTTCCCCGCTCCCCACTTTTCCGCTTGCTTTTCCTTGGTGACATTTTTATTCAAATATTGTGAGAAAGGAGAGGTCACGGGATCCTGCCTCTTGACTGTGAACAGAAAGGAAGTTCGGAGGGTTTAGGTGCCAGAGTGAGCAGAACTGGTGGCAGCTCAGAGCTCGGTGGAGGCGCCGAGTCTCAGTCCTGCCGACGCGGGGGCTCCCTGGAGCCCCGGGTGCGTTTCCTGCCTTAGCCACACTTTCTTCCCGCAGTTATCACTCTCCCAGCTGGTGGCTTCCCCGCTGTCCCGGCTCAGCGCCCTTCACGGCGCCCCCAGCACCCGGAGTCTCCCCCGGCCCAGGTGGTGAGTGCTCGGCCCCGTGGGACTCTCCTGCTGGCCTGGACGCTGCGAGCTGCGCCGGCCTGGGTGGGGACGGGGCCTTGGCGGGGTCTCGGGGACGCGGGCATCGGGTGGGGCGGGGTGGGCCTCACCTCCAGCTCTGGGCACTGCGGCCATGCGGCTGGTCAGCTGAGCAGCTTGGCCTGTGGGCACGTCCCGCACGGCGCGTGCAAGAGTTTGCCCACATGGGCAGGGGCCCGGCCCTCGCTCCTGGACACTGCTGCCCTCGGCTGGGGAGGGCGGCCTTGTGAAGCCACCGCTGCTCGGGACTCGGCGTGGGGCTCCTCGGCCTCGGGACTCGGCAGCGCTGGCTCTGGCAAGCCGCGCCTCCGCCTTGGAGGGGGTTGGGGCTGCCCGCGAGGGCCCCCCTTGCAGCTGCTCCAGGTGCTGGTTTCGTCGCTTTCCCTCTCAGCTGAGATGGGGGGTACCCGGGCTGCAGAGATCGCCCAGGACGTGCACTAACCCTGTGCCGTTTGCCTGACATGAGATGGCAGCCGGGCCGAGGATCCCGCGGCCTGAACCTTCTGTCCCAGCTCCCAGGGCCCCGCAGGTCGGGCCGTCGTCTGACGCGGGGCCTCTGCTGTTTGGCAGGAGGGCCCCGTGGCGGGCAGGCTGTCTCACCTGGAAGCTGACCTGAGCCCGACGGCGTCTGTCCCGGCCTCCTCTGTGGCTGAGCAGCTGCACGAGCTGCCTTTCACCCCCTGCACGCGCCCATCGTCCTGGAGGCCCAGGCCCGGAGGTGAGTGGCCCGCAGGCCCCCTCGACAGCAGGCCTCGTGGCGAGCCTCCGGGCTGCGGCTCAGGAGATCTTCCCTTTCAGCTCCGGGCGGACGCTCTCGCGAGCCTCCCTGGCGCGGCTGCAGGCCTCCGGCTTCCCTGAGATCCTGGACGCCAGCAAGCAGCCCGCCGAAACCGTGGCTCCTACTGACCCCGTCAAATTTAACCCTCAGAAGGAGCAATCTGATCGCCTCCAAAGCAACGAAATAGTGCTGCAGTTTCTTGCCTTTAGCAGGTATGTTCCCGAATATTCCTTTTCTCTTGCTTCCATATTTCCTGCATTGAAGACAAGCTTCTGCGAGCCTCTGACCTGCCAGGCTGTGGGAGGTCAGGGAGAGCCCTTGGCTTTTGTTCTTCTGGTGCCCCATTGCCATTCCAGAGCGCTCTGAGGCCGACCAGGCCCCTCTTCCGTGTCCCGCAGGGCCTGGACAGGGTGCTGGCCTGTTCTTTTTTTTTGTAATTAAAATTTTTTTTTCCACACATCTTTTTTCTTTAAAAGATTTATTTATTTATACAAGAGCCAGGGTAAAGGCCAGACACGCGGGAGGGTGAGAGGATTCAGCAGAGCCAGAGCGGGGAGCAGAACAGGCAGACTGACGAAATACACTGCTGAGGGGAGCAGCGGGCGGCAGGAGAGGTCTGCGCGCCATGGGGGATTCTCGCCGGCTGGCCAGGATCGAACCTGTGCTGCAGAGGCTGCGGGCAGCTTCACGGCATGCGCTCAACCACTGTGTCACCAGGGGAGGCCCATGGTTCTTGGGCGCCCAGGGGTGGGCTGCCCGCATGAGTGCCCAGCCACCCCTTCTCGGGCCCCGAAGGCCCAGGCTCCGTGCTGTGGTTGCGGGATTGATTTGGGGTATTGTTGGGTTCAGGGCATCCCAGGACTCGCAGGCAGCACCGTGGCCCGAGACCGTGTACTTCACCTTCCAGTTCTACCGCTTCCCGCCCGCCACCACGCCCCGCCTGCAGCTGGTTCCGCTGGACGGCACTGGGGCTAGCGGCCCAGCCTCCCCGTCGCACCTCCTGGTCCCAGTGAACAAAGATGCCGCCTCTGAAGCCGGTAGGTGCTTGGGCCTGGCCAGTGAGCAGAGCCTGACCTGCGTCACTGGAGGAGTCGCGGAAGCGTCAGGTGCCCTCCCCGCCCGCCCACAGACCCCAGCTCCTGCCCCTTCCTCGCAGAGCCCTCCCGCAGCGGCTTCCTCCAGTGACCCACAGCACAGTCTTTATTGAGAACCACAAAATCAGTACTGTTAGCCCACCTAAAAAATGTCGCTGTCATCAAATATTAGCAACTGGTGACTAGAACATTCTCAAGCAGCTGTTCAAGTTGAGGCTGAGTGGAGTCTGGCTGCCCGAGCAGGAGGCTCTCACACCCCGTCCTTAGCTGCCCCTCGCTCCCTGCTTGCTGATCTTTCTATTTTAACTTACTTGCATTGAATTTTTATTACTAAATGTGACGTGACGCATAAGCCTGTGTCCGGGAGTCTGTGCCGGTGCAAGCAGCAAGGGTGTGGGCAGCAGCGGGCTTGCCTCTGGCGCCGCCCGCTGGGTTCTGGCGGGGGTGGGGGCCCCTCTACCTGGTCCCCCATCTGGGAGCAGAGAGCCAGTGCTCGCCAGGTGGGTGTTCCAGTCTGGGGGAGCCTTCTCCCTGGCTCTGACCCTGGGTGCGGGGGCTGGACAGCTGCGGTGGACGGGCATGCGACTTCTGCATCCTCTGTGGGTGCTGCCCTCGGGGAAGCGCCCCTCGTCCGCTGGCTGCCTTGGGGAGCACTGTGTAGGAAGGCAGGGCACAGCCTGCTTCTTCCTTTTCCCTTGCTATTTTCAGAGCACTGCGTCGGTCCCCATGGAGGGGTGCCAGGGACCCCTCAACAGTGGGCCCGGCGGCTCCCCTGCCCCCCATCATTATAAACAGTGGGTTGAAACATACCAGATACGGTGCTGTTTTGCTGGTGAGTTGTCCGTCCTTGGCCGAGCCGTGTGGCCGCGGGGGCAGAGCTGAGCAGAGCCCCTCCCCCTGGGCTGGGCAGTGACAGGTGGAGAAGGCCGAGTTAGGGTTCTGGCCAAACGAAAGGCGCTTCGCGACGCTGACCCCAGGCGGGCAAGGTGAGAGCAGAGCTGACGGGGGCCTGCGGCGAGAGACCAGGGAGCTGCTCGCTGGCCAAGACCAGCCCTGAGCACACGAGCTGCTCGGTGGTCGGGAGGCGTGACCCGGACTGGGCACGTCACAGGAGAGACGGCGCACGGCGCTCGGGAGGCTGACCTCCTCCTCCCGGGGGTTGACGGTGGCGCGGGACAGGGTCACCAGGGGGTTGTAAGTTACAACGGGAAAGACGGCCTTGTAAAGCCCGTCCCGCCAATGTAGAGCCCGTGCTTTGTTTTCAAGCGTACTTGGAAAGTTGTAAGAACGCAGCGTTCGTGAATATTTATGTGAGTGTTTGAGGCCCCGGGCGGGCATCGCCACACCCCACGAGACTGCGTGCTCAGCCTGACTAGGTCGTGGGCCTGCCCGGGCGCCGCGGGCAGTGATCGGTGCCCCCCACCCCGGCAGCTTCCAAAGTGCTTTTTTATGAGAAAAAATTTAAACATCCAATTACTCTGTAGGTCAGTGGAAATCAAAATGGAAATGAGTATTTAAACTGAATGACAAAATAAATACCGCTCGTCGGAAGTAAGGCGATGCGAGCAAAATGGCAAAAATGGAGAAATTTACAGCTTTAAACGCTTAGATTGGGAGGAAGGAAGGTTCTTCTGAGACGCTGACCTAATTGCTCAACTGAAGACGTCTGGGGGGCAACAGATCTGAGGAGAGGAGAGACTAGGACGCTTGACAGTGAGCGCCGAATGCAGGACAGTGGGCGTCAGGGCCCCGGGGCCCCCAGGGGGCCCTTTTCTCATGCAGGGTCGGAGGCCATCGGCAGCCCCACCCCGCACCCCCCCTGGCCCCCGTGGGCCCCATGTCTGCTCTTCCGCAGGCCAATCTGAAAGAGGAGGGGCGTGAGGGCTCAGGCGCCTCTAGCCCTCAAGGGCGACCTCCTGCTCTCCTGGGCTCTGATCTCCTGCCTCACGGGCTGAACCCCTTGGGGAGGGGATGCACCCCCAGGGCAGTGGCCTGACCTCCCTGGGCCACGTGCCCAGACCTGAAGCCGCTCCTGTGAGGTGCTGCTCCCGGAGTTTGCTCCCAGGAGACCCTGAAGTGCTCGGGGGACAAGGCTGCAAGGGGGACAAGGCTGCAACGCCTCCGTCCTGTCGGGAGCGTTCCCACGCCACCCCCGCCGCTCGTCAGCTTCCTGCGAGGGGCCCGATAGAGTTAAGATAATTCAGTAAGAGGCCAACCGCTTAGAGAGGTTCCTGACTTGAATGTAAACCCCTTTGCAAGATGAATTTCTGAGAGAGACATTAAGGTCCCTAAATTAAATTTTCTTGCAAGTTGAAGTTCAAAAAATTAAGCTCCAAAATCAAATTTTCTTGTCATCATGCATTACAATTCAAAGTCCGTGATTCCTAAATTGCAGTCTCCTGAAAAGTTCTTTCAGTCTCTCGCACACCGCGTCTCCGCCGAAGGCGGCCCCTGCCCGGCCGGCTCGCGGCTCCCGCTGGGCAGGCGCTCCCTGGGGTCCCCGGGCCGCTGCCACAGTGCTCAGGGCAGGCCTCGGCACGAGCCCTCGCGAGCCGCGTCCAGGGCACCGTTCTGTCGTCGGAGAAATAGAAGTCGTGCAACGCAGCGCAGGTCCAGGAACTGAAAAAATACGCTTTATTTTTTAGAGCAGTTTCAGGCTCAAGGAGAGACTGAGCTTACAGGACAAGGGTGTCACACCCGTCCCGGGGGCAGTGTCACGCAGAGTCACTCGTCACCCAGATCTTCTGCGCCCACGGCCCTCGGCTCCCGCTCCCCCGCGGGCCCCCACCGTCTTCAGGCTCCCTGTCTGGGGGCCCAGCCTGTCCAGGCCGGCCTCTCTCGGGCAGTAGTAGCCGCTAAGCTTGCTCCACGTGTCTTCAGGGCTTGATAGTGCATTTCTTTTCAGTGGTAACCGGCGCCCCCACGTCTGGGTGGGCCGCAGCGGATCCAGCCTCTCGCCCCCCGGGGCGTCTGTCTGCTTCTGAGTCTTGGCAGTTAAGGCGAAAGCTGTTACAAACGTTTCTGTTCAGGATTTTGCACAGACGTGATCGTCGACACCTTGGGGCACACACCAGGGAGTGTGACCACGCCCTGTGTGGTGAGGGGGCTCAGTTTATAAGCAAGGCCACCCCCTCCCACGGTGGCCCCGCCGTCCGCACCCTGCAGCCGGGCCTCAGAGTTCTGGGCCACGTCCTCCCCTACTTGGTGGTGTCGGGCTTCTGGGTTTAGCCACGTGATAGGGGTGGGGTGCCCCCGCGTTTCCATGGCGACGGGGGGTGTGGGCCTCTTCTCACGGGCTGGCCGGCCATCTGTCCACCGTCCTTGGTGAGGAGTCTGTTTAGGTCTTTGGTTCTTTTTTAAATCGGGCTGTTACTTTCCTTAGTGTTCTTGTTTCAAGAATTCTTTGTATTTTTCGGATGCCAGTCCTGTGCCGGGTGTGTGCTCTGCAGACACCTCCGCCCTGTCCGTGGCTTGTCCTTTTCATTCTTAACAGTGTCTTCTGCAGACAGTTTGGAATGTTAACGGCACCCGTTGTCTGAGCTGTCACGGGCCAGGCCTTTGGTGTCTATCTGGAAAGTCCCCTCCAGCCCTGGGGGCTCCGCGCCATGTCCCGTGTCACCTCCCGGCCTCACGCTTTGGTCTGTGACCCCTTTTACTTTGGTAACAGGCACACATCTGCGTAACTGCCCCCAACGCGGGGGGGCTATAGGATGGGGGTGCAGGTGTCTTTTTGAGTTAGTGTTTTCATTTCCTTCACGTAAACACCCACAGGTGGGCTGGCTGGGCCCACGGGTGCTGGCTTGGATTTCCGCGGCTCCTGCACTGGGTCCCCACCATGCCGTGCCAGCCTATGCCCTGCTGTGCCGGCCTGCGGGCCCCAGTGCACCCGTGCGTCTGTTGGGGTGTGTGTGGGGTGAGGTGGCTGTGGAGTGGGCGACGTGTGTTGGATGCGCGTGTGGACTTGCTGCACAGTTCACGCTGCTGGTCCCAGCTTCTGTCGTCCCAGGGTGGACGTGTCTGCTGGCCCCACGTCCTGCGGGGCGTCATGGGGCTGGTGGGTTGGTGTCTAACCAGCTTGGTGGGTGTGTGGGGGCCTTTCAGGGGGCCGGGGGTCAGGGAGCGGGCGGTCAGGAGGATGGGGGCAGGAGGTTGGGGTCAGGGGGACAGGGCAGGAGATCAGGGGTCAGGGGGCAGTTTCAAAACAGCCGCCTTCCCACGTGGCCCGCGTCACCCCCTTCCCTGGCTCCCTTCCTTCTAGAAGGGATCTTTCCTCCCCAGCCGGCTGTCAAGAGACGGAACAAATGTGCTATTTTAATTTCCCTTTAACGACGATTTCCAGAGTCAGAGCTTGTTGTCACCCCAGGCGCGACAACTGAGGTCCAATTTGTCTATTATTTTTGCTACTTGTCTTGTCTTTTGGGGTGTCACTCTGACTCCTTGGCGTTTCCTTTATCCGTCTGTCCGGGTATTTTCACTGGTGCCAGTTTCTGACGTTTAACCCTTTGGCCCACGGCAGCTCCCGGGGACCTTCGCCTGCCGTGGTGCCCGCCTGCTGGGGTGCCCGGCCCAGGGTCCCGTCCCCTCCTGTCGCGTCTCCCGGGAGCCCGTGGGTGCTCCAGAGCCCGAGGCCCGGAAGCGCCGGCGCTGGCCTCGCTGTCCCCGGCAGAGCGCGGGAGTAGATGCTGAAGCCGCTTCTTGCTGGCCCTTCACATCCTGCTTGAGTCCTTTCCCCCTGCACACCCCCGGGGCCTGCTACGACGGCCGCTTCCTGGCCGTTCCTCAGAGCGGCCGGATGTGCCGGGCCAGCGGGGCCTCGGGCCCTGCCTGGGCCGGTCCCCTGAGGATGCGTGTCCCCCAGGGGTGAGCGATGGGCTGTCCAGGCAGAGTCCCTTGTTCAATTTGTTTTCAATTTCATGTTTGCTTTCCTTCCTTTTGGGTTTAGTTTTTGGAGCATTTGAAAGGCTCTAAATAGAACATGGAGGTGGGCTGTGCCCCCGAGCCCCTCCCTGCCTCGCCCCGCAGCCCGCCCCTCGGCCCGGCATGGGCCGCCGTTTCTGCTCTCCCCCTTGCTTGTTGGCTGGCTCTTGTTGTCAAATAAGCACTTGCTCATATTGAGTTCCTTTTCTCTTACCGTGCCGGCAGTGTGCCCAGCACATCTGTCACCTCGCTTTTGGGGTGAACGTTGCACCCGAGCCCGGCTACCCTGGTTGCGCCAGTCACTGGGGGTGTGTTCTGCGCTGGGAGCACGCAGCCTACAGGGCCCGAGTGTTTTGGGTTTTCTGTCAGTGGGGGCTGCTAGCGGTGGGGCTCAGGGCCAGTGGGCCCAGAGGAGGGGAGGACATGGGCACACACGCATGGCCCTCTGTGGCTGTGGCCTCTGTCCCCTGGTGGACGTGACCGCTGTCCCTCGTGGACATGACCCCCATCCCCTGTTGACATGGCCTCTGTCCCCCGTGGCGGGTGGCCTCCCTGGCTGCCTCCTCATGGCCCCCAGCGCTGCAGGTTGTTAAATTGGGGTTTCGCCATCTGCGCCTCGGGAGACTGCCTTAGCGAGGGTTCAGTTTGCGTTCCTCCTGGGGTGCGTGAAGCTGGTGTCCCCGCCCGCTGCCCCGTCCCGTGTAGACGCGTGTCCCCTCAGAGTCCGTCTTTTCCCTGGTGACTCGGGCGCCGCCTTACCAGCCGCCAAACGCTCTCAAGCTGGTTTTCTTCCTGAATTTTCTGTCTTGTTCCATGAGACCAGAGGTCAGCACGCTGATTTCTGGTAAGGGCCAGACTAGACATTTTAGGCTTTTGGGGTCACATGCCTCCTGATCTCTGGAAACTTCTTTGATGACCCTTCAGAAGTGAGCGGTCTCGGGGCTGGCGGCTGGGTGGGCCTGCGGTGCAGCGGCCGACTGCCCGAGGCCTGTGTGTCCGTGCAGGGCGTGGGACCAGGACACCGGCTGGCCTTGGGGGGGCGGGATTCGGCCCCCTCACTCTCCCTGCCTTCCGAGCCTTTCGCAGCCGCAGGCGCTGGCTCACAGGTGCTGCTTTTTCTCACCATTAGCGTTTCGGTTCCACCTTTACGACGACCGTCCTTCTGCTCTCCTCTTGGTCATCTCGTTTTCTGAGTTGCATAGTTCACTCGCTTCAGCGCTTCTGCTTTTGTAGACGTAAGCGACCCAAAGCTGTGGATTTCCCTTTGGTAAACACTTGATGTCTTGTTGGTTACAATAAGTGGCATTTTTCTGGAACGTCTGTTCTGATTGCGTTTCCCTCTGACAGAGTTATTTAAGACTAAGTTGAAAATTGTTTCAAGGAATTGGCTTCGGGTTTCTCGCGTGCTGCACCGCCATCAGAGAGCCGTGTCACCCCACCCGCCGAGCGTGTTAGGGTGGCTTTGCGGTGCCGTTAGATGCAGTCAGTTTGTGTTAGTGCTCCCGGAGGACTTGAGAAGGCGTCCTCCCTGCTCCTGAGCCTCGCAGTGGGGCCTCGCCGGGAGGGCCTGACCTGCGCCGGCGCCCTGGCACTTGCGGGTCCTGGACGTCCTCCCTGCTTGTGCTGGGTCCCCCGCGCCACCTGTGTGCGTGTGCATGGATGGCCTGGCTCTGGCACACTGTGTGTCCAAGTGATGAACTCCCGGGCAGCCAGTAAGGCCGCTCTCCATCCAGCCGCTGTCCACAAGGACTTCGTGGAAGTATCTTACTGGGGAGAAGCTCCTTGTAGCTCAGCCTGCTCCCCATTCTGCTAATTGGGATGTTTTGTGACAGCTTTGATGACCGTGTCTAGTAAACCGTCACTGTGACAGACACGGAAGTTAGTAATCGTGGCCAGGGCGGACTGTCCAGAGGGTCCGGGGACAGACAGCCTGGGCTCACTGGGTCCTCCATGCGCAGGGGCTCCTGGCTTCCGGCTGACGTACCTGGTGGACCCCGGGTCCCTGACACCTGGAGAGTCGTGCTGGTTCGCCCACTACCTGGCCGTGCAGACCCTGCAGATGGACGTCTGGGACGGGGACTCCCTGCTGCTCTTGGGGTCCGCGGCTGTGCCTCTGAAGGTAGGGCGGGCGGGGCGGGGCGGTGCCCATTCCCCGCTTTGTCCTGTAGCTCCTCCACCTTCCTCCCTGCGAGGGCCCCGAGGGAGGCTGCCCGGCCTGTGTGTGCAGCCCGCTGTCGACTCCATGGGGGAACTGGTGGCACTTTATTTAAAAACATGTGGAAAGACCCCAATATCAAGCTGGGGTTTTCAGGAGAAGGCGGACTCCGCCTCAGCTGCCCTCCGACTGCTGCCGGTCGGGGTGTTCTTTGGATCCTGTCCTCTGTGCACCGCCCTCCACAGTGGCTTCCCTCGGTGGGCGCCGGTGCACCTGCAGCTCCTGCCGGCGGTCGGCTCTGCCCTGAGAGGCTTCTCCTCCGCAGCATCTCCTCCGCCAGGGGCGGCCGGCCGTGCAGGTCTCGCATGAGCTGGACGTCGTGGCCACCGAGTACGAGCAGGACACGATGGTAGTGAGCGGAGACCTGACTGGCTTTGGCAGTGTCAAGCCCATCGGTGTCCACATGGTGGTGAAGGGCCGGCTGCACCTGACCTTGGCCAACGTGGGTAAGTGTCCTTTCCCGGCAGCCACTCGCTGCCCGGCTGGAGCGGGAGCCCCCAGGCCTGCAGCCACATGGTGGCGTCAGATGCACTGGGAATGCAGAACATTCACAGCAGCCTGCCCGCTGCAGCTGTCCTGGGCCACCGGGCCTGTCCTGGGCCACCAGGCCTGTCGTGACCGCTGAGCATCAGTCCTGGACCCTGGGCCTGGCACCAGTGCTTGTGCCTCTGCTTTCCAGTTAGGGCTTGGGATCTTACCTGTCTTGGTCTTGTCCACTTCTTGTTTCTTGGTGGTACCCACGGGCCTCTCTGTGACTGTCCTCAAAGCAAGTGGCCGCTCCGGGAGAGGTGGCTTGTTAGCTCACAGAGCTGCCTCTTCATGGTGGAGGGAGAGCCACGGCCCTGGGCCAGCAGCTGGAGAAGTGGTTCTCCAGGGTCCAGCGCTTCACTCCCGCTGGCGTCCTCGATGCGCATCTCGGGAGGCTGACACTGGCCCCTTCTATCATGTGCCTGTTGGCCAGGGGCCTGGGGGCCCTGCCTGGATGTCCACAAGGCTCCACCGAGGCCCCTGATGAGACAGCGTCAGGCTGCTGGAGCCGGCACGGGACAGAGGCCCCTGAGCCCCGCGAGGACAGAGGCGACCCCCCAGCCTCCCTCAAGGGTTTTGTTGTTTTCTGGGTGAACTGAAAGCAGGACAGAAACAAACCGTGTGGTGCTGTTGTGTGTCTGGATGGGAAGCAAACCGCTGGTGCTTTTCTGGGGAGGTTTCCCATCCCTCAGAACCCGGGCTGCTCTGAAAGCCGGGCCCCCGGGCCCCGGTCCGGTGCTGAGGCCTGAGCCGGCCGGCCGGGCAGCCGGGCAGCGGGCACCGCACTCATTAAGCCAGCCGGGGGCTGCGGCGGCTTGTTTACAAATGCGGAGTCCAAGGCTGCCTGGAAAACAGACAATCTGGAAACAGCGAAACTCAATTAGGTTCTGGGAAATAAATGAGCCAGGTGTGGGCCGCAGCGTCACTCACGCTCGTGGGCCAGGGAGTCGCCGGCATCGCGCCTTCAGGCCGTGGCTGTTTTTATATTTAATTCTCCAGCCCACAGATGTGCAGTGTGACTCTAGGTCTTAAAATCTTATCTTCAGAAGAAAGATTAGCTCCATTATACGTTATCTTAAATTGTCATTTTCATACTTTGCCTGCACGAGAGAGATAAGCCCACGGGGAGAGGGGCCGAGAGGCCGCTCGAGAGGCCGGCAGGGCGGGAGGACCGGCTGCTCCTCTCGAGGGGCTTTGCTTTCCTGTCCTCCTGCGTATTTTTGTGGGAGAAATGTCTTTTCTTTCTCTATGAAACTGGCAGGCAGGCGCCGGGCAGCAGCGCCAGCCCCCATTGGCATGACGGCCACGCAGCAGCAGGGAACAGAAGCTGGGCCTGGACAGCACTCACTGTCCCGGCCGGCCTGCTGGGCGCCTCCTGTGGTCACACTGGGTGCAGGTGCCGTCGCTCCCACCCAGCGCCAGGCAGCCACCCCGCTCTGCTGGGCTCAGACAAGCCCTCGGCTCCCAGCAGCCTGTGCGCCCGGCGCCCTGCTGTCATGGAGACCACACAAGGCTGAGACTTTATCCCCTGATGCTGCGACGCGGCCGGTCAGCTGGGCGGCGGCCACTGTGTGGCTCGTCCCGCTCGCCGGGGCTGCATCTCCTCTGAGAGCCAAGCTCCGGGGCCTGCTTGTCCGTCCCTGTGGCCATCTGGACCAGACCTGACCCGGCAGCCCACCCCGCCCCCGCCGGCCGTCGTGATGGGGGGCACAGAGAGCGGAGCCTGGGCTGGCTGGGCTGGGGCTCCGTGGGCTCCTGCTCCCTCACATGCGTGGGGTGCGGTACTGGGACCCGAGGTGACGGTCAGCACTGGGCGCTGGTCCATCTTGGCGCCATGACCCCACCCTGCCCACAGGCTCCGGGCTCCCGAGGCCCTGGCCCCTCCCCCCGTGGCGCGGGCCCCTGCACGCGGGAGCCTTGTGTGGCGGCCGTGGGCCCAGAAGCGCTGGCCTTGGCGTCTGTTCTTGGACTTCAGCCTGCTGAGCCGGTCCTGGACGTGGCAGGGCCTTTCTTGGAGACAGGTTGGCCCGACCACAGTGGTTGCTACCAGGGGCAGACGGGGCCACGGAGACGAGGGGCCTGTGCTGTGGCCAGAGACCTCCGCCTCTGCGGGCAGGGGCTGCGGCTGTGCGGGGCCGAGTGTGCATTCGGGGTGCGGGTCTGCCCGGGGGCTGTCTCCCTGTGTCTCTGTGAGAAGCACCCGCAGGGGCTGTGTGGGGCGGTGCCTTCTGGTGTGCGTGGACGCAGCCGGGGGCGCCCAGGAGCCCGGCCTGCGCAGCGTGACGCGTGTACCCGGGCGTCGTGAGTTCGGGGCGTCGGGCCATTTGAAGGCACAGGGGCTGCCGAGGCTCCCTTGGCTTTCACGGCGTTCATGTCCCGCTGGTGTTTCCTGTAGGTCACGTGTGTGAGCAGAGGGCGAGGAGTCCCAGCTCCTTGCCGCCGTCCCGGTCACGGGTCATCTCCTGCGACGCAGCCGGCCGCTTCCCAGGGGGCAGTCTCTTCGCCAGCGGGAGCCCCAGAGGTGCGTGGCACATGCGGCAGGCGGGTAGGCGGGGGCTGCACGGGCTGGCTGGGTGTGCGGGGGTGGGTGGCAGAAGGCTGCGCACGTGTGTTCCCATGGGAGTGTGCATGCACACAGGAGTGTGTGAGGGGCTACGTGCGTGTGTGCAAGCATGGGTGTGTGTGGGTGTCCGTGCCCTGGATCTGGGGCTAGCGCAGGCGCTGCACGGCAGCCCCGGGCCAGCTCGGCCGCCCGTGCCCCGTCCCCGTGCTCGGCCAGCCCCACGCCCGCTGCTGGTGCCGTGCAAGCTGCCCGCCGTGTTCGTGGAGAAGTGACAGCCCTCCAGCGGCATTTGTTTTGGTTAGCTGCTCGTCCGCCGCAGGGGAGGAGTTGATGAAGAGGTCGGGAGAAGCACAGGCTGATTTTAAAAACCTAATTTGAAACTCCCCGTGTTGGGAAGAGGAATGAACCGATTACGAAGCTGGGGAGTAAGCCCTGGGCGGCGAGCGCTCCTTCCCGGCAGGGCCTCCAGCCTCCTGTCCCCTGAAATCTCCCGCGAGCCTGAGTATGAAGGCCTGCGGTGAGAATTGGGGTGGGGGTGTCCTTTCCACCGTCCAGGCACACCCCTCGGGCAGGGCTTACTCTGGTGGGTCACCGTGCAGACCTCCAGACGGCCAGGGCCATCAGGACGGACACCTGTGCCCGGGGGACCCAGAGCTGCGGCTGGCAGAGTGGGGAGGCCGCTGGTTTCTTGCCTGCACCCCACATTCAGAATTCCCTGAAACTCCAGCAAAGCCTGTGGACCCGGGACCTCCTCCCGGGCCAGGTGGGTGCAGGTTCAAGGCCCAGGCAGGCTGGGGTCTGTTCTGGTCCCGCCTCCTCGCTTTAAAGTTGAGGAACCGAGGCAGAGAGAGGCCAGGTGGCTTGGCAGGTGCTGAGGGCCATGGCAGGGAAGGCGGACGAGACTCTGGACCTCCTGCCTCGGGGCCTGTGCGCCTGCATCCCAGCCTGGCCTCCAACCGCTCTCCTCTGGCGTGCTGGCTCCCCGGGAGAAGCCCCCTGGGAATGAGTGGCCGTCTGCACTCTTGGCCGGGCCCGGCCGGTCAGGGGCTCCTGGCAGCGGCTTCTGAGGATCGGTTGAGGGAAGTGGGTGCCTCCAAGCGCTATTTCCACCAAAACCAGAGGATGCTGTGTCAGTGAGCTGTGTCTTCGCTGCCTGGACGGGGCTCTGGAAGGGAGTGGAAGATGTGTAGCAGGTTCTCAGTGCTTCCCGGCTCCCAGTGCAGGCCCTGCCACTCCGCCTTCCTCTGGTCTCCTGGGAACTGGGCCACAGGCATTTGTTGGGCACTGAGAACCCTGGGGGCGCCCGAGCATCGTTGCTGCACTGATGCCTACACCTGCGACCCCAGGCCTCAGGCGGCTCCATCCCACCCAGGCTGGGTCTCTGGTCCGGCTTGCCACGCCCCCGAGATCTCTGGAATGTTCTTTGGGGCAGCCATTTAAGAAGACTAAACCAACTCATAGCATCTAAAAGAAATTCAGGGGCTTAAAATGCAGCGGTGGCAGGAGCCTGGAACTAGTGCTTGTTCACTTGTGGTGGAGGAAGGGGGGAGGCGGGGAGGGGCCCTCATGCAGGGGCAGGGAGGGGGCACTCTGGAGGCTCAGGCAGGTGGCAGAAGGGGATGCCCAGCTGGTGTTCACCCCCCGAGGCTTTGAGGGTGCCCGAGAGTCAGGAAGGACCCTGGTTCTGGAGTGGGCGCCCCCTCCCTGCTTGCCCATTGGGCAGGGCGAGTGAGCCCCGGAATCTCACCAGTCAGCCCGGCATGGCCGGTGCAGGCTCAGGAGCAAAGAAACGCAGCTCTTCCCTGTCCCTGCAGCCTGGTCAGTGCCACCCTGCTCCCCTGCGCGTGTGGGGTTACCTGGAGGCCTGGGGGGGCGCAGTGGAGACACCCCAGCTCTGTCTTAGGGCACACAGGAAGGGGCAGGGCTGCCAGAGAGTGCCTGCCCCACCCCGCGGTGCTGGGGCGCTGGGTCTGCTGGAACTAACCCTACACCTTAACCCCTGCCCCTTCTTGAACCTTCCAGCTGCGAGAAATGTGGTGCAAGCGCAGAAGCTGGCCGACTTGGACAGCGAGCTGGCAGCCCTGCTGCTCACGCCGCTGCCGCAGGGGCGCGCTGGGGGCCGGGGAGCCCGCGGCGAGGGCGAGGCTGTCCGCAGGCGCAAGCTGGCCAGGATGCGGGCTGTGCGCCTGCAGGAGCTGGGCGCGGGGGCGCTGGGGAGCGTGGCCTCAGGAGTGCCGTGCAGGTGAGGCCCGCGGGGTGCCCCAGGGGCCCTGCCCTCGACCCTCCCCGCTGCCCGGCTGCGTCCCCCCCCCCCCCCCGGGCCTGCTGGAGGCTGTGGGCACGAGTCACTCTCCCAGCAAGTTTCCAAGCGGGGTTACCTAGGGGCGCGCCTGTCAGGCGCACCCTTGGAGGCTGTTCCCAGGGTGCCGGGAGCCTGGGCTGGGGGTGCTCGGCGGGGAGGGGTCTCGGCAGCCCCAAGTCTGGGGTGCATAGCTGCGAGCCCCCGTCCGTGCACAGTCTCGCGAGCAGTGAAGTTCCCATTTGCCGCTAAAAGTCTGCGGGCCTTGTAACATCGCACCGCTGAGGACGGGTGGGAGGCTGGACATGCCCTCGGCTTTGAGGGCGGAGCAGCCCTGGGGAGGAGGATCCCGCTGCGCCCCCACAGCTGCGCCCCCATGGTGTGGCCTCGGGGTCCCGGCTCAGGGCCTGAGAGTGCCAGGGAGGGTGTGGAGGCTGGGGATGGGGAGCCCTCGGGACTGGAGAGACCGGGCATGGGTGGGGCCACAGCAGGGCGGGGCGGGGGAAGGGCCCTAGCGGGGACCAGGCGCAGGGTCAGGGCACCGGCTTTGGAGGGGGCTCGGCCCTCCCAAGTGTGGAGGATTGGGGTGGCTCCAGAGGAAAATGGGTGTGGGGCGGCGCAGGGGACCAGAAGACAGCTGGGCGCCCGCGCGAGGGGCCCTGGCTCAGCGGCGCGTCCCGTAGGCCCAGCAGAGCGCGCTGGCGCAGCACGCGCGGGACCTGCAGGTCATCGCCGCCTACCGGGAGCGCACCAAGGCCGAGAGCATCGCCAGCGCCCTGAGCCTGGCCATCACCGCGCGACACACGCTCTCCGCCGCGCTGGGCGTCGCCGAGTTCTTCGAGTTTGCGCTCCGGAATCCCCACAACACGCAGCACACGGTGACCATCGAGATCGACAACCCCGAGCTCAGGTGGGAGCCGGGGCACGAGCCCGGCCCTGGCCCCGCGGGTGGAGGAGCTCCTGTGCGAGGAGGGGCCCTGGGCTGGGTGGCGCCCCTGGGGTCCTGCCTGAGAGCTAAGCCCATCTGGCTGGGGGCCGGGGGTTCGCCTTTGCCCGGTGCCAGCCAGGGCGGGCACCTCCCTGCAGGCCTAGCCAGGCACAGCCTGTGCTCAGCGCCTGTCTCCCCTCTAGCCTCGTGCTGGACAGTCAGGAGTGGAGACATTTCAAAGCCGCGGCCAACCTGCACACGCCGGTGGAGGAGGACATGTTTCACCTGCGGGGCGACCTGCCCCCCCAGCTCTACCTGCGCCCCAGGGAGACCGCCCACGTCCCCTTCAAGTACCAGAGCTTCTCCTTGGGCCAGCCGGCCCGGGCGCAGGTGGGCAGGCCGCTCTCTGGCACCGGCCCTGGTCCTCGGACACCTGGGGCGGAATATTGGGGTGTGGGGAGTGAGGGCGCTCTGGAGCTTGGCACGCACCCCCAGTCAGCCAGGAGCAGCCTATTGGGCTGTCGGCGTGGCTCCTGGTGGTGGCGAGTGCTCTTAGAAGCAGATGTGGGGGCCGGGGCGCCCCCTCATCCCCGGGAGTCCTTGCCTCCAGGCCCTCTGAGCAGCGTCCCACATGCACGTCTCTGTGCACGCGAGAGGCTGTGTGTTCACACCCGCCACGCGGGCGCTCCTGGCCGCCTTCTCCCTGCGCTTGGGACCCCACTTTTGAGCGAGGACCTGGCTCTGGCATCGCCGCTGTGTCTGACGTCGCTTGCTCAGTCTGGAGGTCGCGCTGGCTGAGACCTCTGCCCTGGGGCTCCAGGGTGGCCCTTTCTGCCCTGGAGACTCCTCTCCGGCAGCTGCGTCGCCAGCCTGCTACGCAGCTAGATTTGTTTGTCTCAGTTTGTTTTCAAACTCCAGAGATCTTTGCTTTTCCTTCTGATTTAATGTTTTAATTAAGTAAAACCATTTACATAATCGAGCCCCACATCAACCTATAAAATGAGACTCCAGAAAGATCCTGCTTTCTTTTTCGCCCCCCATTCTCCCATTCTGCCCTGTGTGCGTGCACGGAAGCATGTGTGTGCGCACACGTGCTCTGAAAGGCTGTGAGTGTGCACGTGATAGCGCCTGAGTTTAGATGCACGTTGGCCTGTGGCACACGTGCAGACATGCACACACATATACACATGTGCTGGTGCACGCGTGCAAATGCAACCATATGTGTGCCTGTGCATGCTTGCCCACCGGCACACATATTCCCATGCTGGGTGTGGACATGGGCCTGGGGGCCGCCGGAGGTGCCGGGCGCTGGCCCTCTCCTCTCTGCGCCGGCGCCCGCGTCCGGACTGTCCTCTCGGGTTCAGCCGGCCCTCTGCTGTGTCCCCTCTTGCGGCGACGCGTCGCCTGAGCACGTGCATTCTCCTGAACGCCTCTCGGGGGAGCTGGCCCATTTTGCACTGATTGATCATTTTTAAAGCTTTTATTGAACTCCACAAACGTTGCCGGCTCTGTCAGAACTCGTGAGTGTTGCGAAAACAGCAGCGACGAGGGAGCTCAGTCTCAGGCCCCGTCACCCCGCAGGCCCGTGGCTCTCAGCTGTGTCCGCCGCGTTGCCGCTGTGCGCTCAGGTTCTAGTGGCAGGACCTGCTCGGGGCCTCCCCGGGTCACGGGGTCTGCGGCACAGGTCGCTTTCCTGGGTGCCGTGTCCCGTGTTCACGCAGCTCCCTGGCCCTCGGCCGTTGGGCAGTGGGTGGGGCTGCTGTCCTGTGTCCAGGCCCCGCGTGTGGCCCTGGGCCCCGCAGGGGGACGGCCAGCCACGTTGCTGCCCTCGTGGCTTCTGTTCCAGTGGGCTGGTGGGGCCGCCTGCGTGCATCGGCATGGGTGGTGGTCCTTGCGCAGGGTTAGCATGTTGTGCCTGTGAAACACATGAGCAAAGAGAACTCGGGGGCTTCCAGGCGGCAGAGACCGCAGTGGCAGACAGCTACCTGCCCCTCCGGCCCTGGGCAGCCGGGGACGCGCTGGCGGTGATACCTGAGCCGGCCAGAGGCGGCCATGGCCTGACACGCGGACCTCTAGGGCACCGGCCATTGCAGGGCCTCCGGGAGCTGGAGGCTGGTGTGTGGTGCCAGGAGGCCCTCCCGGCATGCAGAGGGCCAGTGGCAGGCAGGTGGACTGGGAGAGGCCCGGGCCACGGACCTTTGCCTTCGGCGTTCGGTCCCGCATGCAAGGGAGCATGCCCGTGTGGCCCTGCCGCGCCGCCCAGAGTCCCGCCACGCCTGTCCTTCCCGCTTCTCAGGGTGGTGGGCATGGGCTGGTGTGGCCCTCACCGGTCGGGGGCAGCTGTGATGCCGCATCTACTCTGCCCGCAGGTGGTGTTCCGCGCAGGGGGCAAGCCCCTGGCCATGCTCTGCCTGACCGTGGAGGCGCAGCCCCATGTGGTGGACCAGACCTTCCGCTTCTACCACCCTGAGCTCACCTTCCTGAAGAAGGCCATCCGCCTGCCCCCCTGGCACACGCTCCCAGGCAGGTGCCGGGTCCCAGCGGTCCACACGGTGTCAGGGACGGGCAGGCTCTCCCGGGCCACAGGCGGTCACCCGTGTCACCTTCAGGCTCCTTCTCGGCAAGTGATGTGGCCGCTGGCTGTTGTCACTCAGCCTCTGATGGGCCTGGGGTGCCCGGGCCTGGTCCCACCCCTTACCCACAGCCCCTCCCACTGGCCTCCTCCCTGTGCCCTTTGGGAGGAGACACGGGCTTGGGTCAGCGCTGGCATGACAGCGCACCCTTGGCCGCAGGGGATGCCGGCCGCGTCCCTCAGGGGCTGAGCCGCTTCCCTGCAGGGTCAGCGGGGCGGGGTGGGCCCTGCCTGCTGGGAAGTGACCTCTGCTGTGGCTCCTTGATTGGCCCAGGTGCTCCCGTGGGGCTGCCTGGCGAGGTCCCCCCGGTCCACGTCCGGTGCAGCGACCCCAACGTCATCTGTGAGACCCAGAGCGTGGTGAGTCTGCCGGGCTGTGCGCCCCCCGCTGCACCCCCGCTTTCTTCTGAGGTTTTCCTGAAGTGGCTCGTCAGGTGCGAAAGGGCTATGTTGACATCCTGTGAGAGTTTTATGAATGAGTTTTCATTTTTCCTTAATTATTGAATTTAAATTAAAAAAAGGCTGGAGCGCCGCGATGAAAGCGAGGGTAATTAAGCACTTATTAATTGCCGCTGTGTGGGGACACGGCGGTGCTGGGGTGCGGTAGGCGCCGTCCCTGCAGAACGGAATTATTGAGCTCAGCATCAAATCAAGAAGTGAATGATTTTCTCTTTTGCAGTGAGAAAACGGAATTCTGCCTAGTACAGAGATCACGCTTCCCTGGGGGCGGGGGCCTGGGCCTCGCGCCGGCCTGGGGGTTGGGCTGGGGTCACCCGACGCTCCCTCTGTGTGGCAGGGCCCCGGGGAGCCGCGGGACGTGTTTCTGAAGGCGGCCAGCGGCCCCAGCCCCGAGACCAAGGCCTTCTTTGTCGCCGTGTACACGTGAGTGCGGCCTCCGGGTCTGGGGGGCGGCCCAGGGGTGGGGAGAGGCCTCTGCCGCTCCTGTTGTGACCGGAGGGGTGGGCCTTTGGCCTTCGCTCTGCGGGATTCCGGGGTGGCAGGAGGCTCCTCTCGGCCCCACCCATGGGGGACGCCCGGTTGCCCCCAGGAGAGATGCTCAGCTCGGCCGCCAGGCTTTGGTGTGGAGTCGAGTCTGCTGGGACCTGACCCGGGCCCACACTGGGGACCCCCACTCAGGAAGGGGCGGGTGGTCCCTGTCCTTGATGCCTGAGACTGCCCCTGGAGTCTGTGCCCCGGTGGAATAACCTTTAACGCTTCCTCCTGAGTTGCGTGGCTCAGCCCCCAGAAACCCCACCAGCAGGGAGGGTGTGCACCGCCGTCCCCAACATGGGAGGGGTCACTTCGTCCCTGGACTGAGGGCTGCGCCCGAGCTGCACCTGCAGGGTGGCCTTGGAGGGCAGCTCTCATGGCACCCAGCGGCGAAGTGGGGTCTAGCCCCCTGCCCCAGCACCAGGGCCCACCCGGGGCTCCCGCTCAGGCCCCTGAGTCCAGGGGTTTGGGTTTATCTCCCCGAGTCACTCGCCAGGTGCAGCCCCGCCCCAGAGACCTCTGTTTGGGTCGGAGGGGACTTGAGGACGGGGCTGACAGCAGCTATCAGTCCCGGGCCCTGCCCAGCACCCACGGTACCCTGGCGGTGGCCTGCCCGAGCCCTCTGTCTGCAGGGACCGCTGGCTGACGGCGCCCGCGCAGGTCTGGCAGGTGCACCTGCACTCCCTGCAGCGCGTGGACGTCTCCTGTGTCACCGGCCAGCGCACCCGCCTGTCCCTGGTCCTGCGGGGGTCACAGACGGTCAGGAAAGTGAGAGCCTTCACCTCGCACCCCCAGGAGCTGACGGTGCGTGCGACGTCCCTCTGCTGCCCCACCGGGCGGGGGGCCCAGGGCAGCAGGCTGCTGGCTGCTCAGCCCGAAACACTGGAGCGGGCTGGCCGGCCGGTGGCCCTGGGGCCCCTCAGTCCCCGGGCACTGACCCGCCCCTCCTCTCGTTCTTGAAGACGGACCCCAAGGGCGTGTTCGTGCTGCCCCCCCATGCGGTGCAGGACCTGCATGTGGGCGTGCGGCCCTGGCGGCCGGGCAGCCGCTTCCTGCACCTCAACCTGGTGGACGTGGAGCTGCACCAGCTGCTGGCCGCCTGGCTCGTGTGCCTCTCCTGCCGGCCGCCCCTCATCTCCAAGGTCTGCAGTTGTGGGTGTGGTGCAGGTGGGGCGCCTTCTTGGTGTCCTCCTGGGCCCCCCGGCCTGACCCAGGCAGGAGCTTCCTCCTCGTCCCCCTGCACCGGGTGGGGGCGGCTGCCGTCCCGGGACCCCCAGCCAGGCTCAGGGGCGGCTGGAGATGCCTGGAGGGCACGAGTGGGCCCAGCAGGTGCCTGGAGAGCCCACACCCCCTCCTGCCCCCAGGCCTTTGAGATCAGGCTGGCCGTGGGGGACGGGAAGGGCGCCAACAAGCGGATCACCTATACCAACCCCTACCCCGCGCGGAGGGCCTACCGCCTGCTCTGCGACCACCCCGACCTGCTGCAGTTCAAGGAGGACGCCTTCCAGGTGCGGGCGGGCGGGGGCTGCGCAGCGGGGACGGTCAGGGGTGTGGGCACTGGCGCCTGCTCCTTCCAGGCTTGGGGCGGGGCGGGGGTGCAGGCCAGGGGGGTGCCCGCTCAGACTGGGCTGGGGCAGTGCCCTCGGGGCAGAGTGGACCCTCTGCTGCCCGGCCCCCCGGAGCCCCCTTGAAGCCCCGTGCCCATCCCCAGAAGGGCCAGCAGGTGGGCCTGGAGTCTGGGCCTCGGCCCCGGGCGCAGGGTGAAGTGCCCTTCGGTGTCACGTGGAGGGCGGGCGCTGGGAAGGGGTCTGGGGGGCGGCTCTGACGCCTGTTTGCAGGTCGGGGGCGGAGAGACCTACACCATCGGCCTGCGGTTCGCGCCGGGGCGCGGCGCGGGGGAGCAGGAGCTCCTCATCTACATCAACGACCAGGAGGACAAGACGGAGGAAACCTTCTGCGTGAAGGTCATTTACCAGTAGGGCCGGCCGCCTCCGCAGCCCCCGCGCCGCCGCGCCGCTCCTGGCCGGGGCCGTGAGGCCGGAGGCTCGACCCCAGCGCTGGCGCTGCTCCGGCTTGACTCAGGAAAACCTATTTTTCAAATCATCTTAAATGGCAAAATTATGTTTTCTCACTGGATTTTGTACAAACACTATTACTTGCTACACGATGTTTTGTACGGGAATTTCCTACTTTTAAAAGTTATTTATGAAAGATGAAGCTTGCACGTGTTTTCTCTGAGCGGCGTCTGGAGTGTTCAGTCACCGTCGGGGCGTCTGTCCCGGGCCTGCGGCTCCCTCGAGGACAGGAAGGCCGAGGGCGGTGAGGCGGGGAGGCCGCACAGCAGGTGCGTACGCGTCTCGGGCCAGGGGGCTGCCCTGAGGGCGCCCTGGTCTCTGGCGCTGTGGGCGTCACTGCTGTCTGCTTGGGTGGCCTTGTGGTCCGCGGCGGTGGCGGCAGTGCGTGAGCGCAGGGCCGGGCTTCCTGCACCCGCCCGCCCAGGCCGTCCCGCCCGCGGCATCACCCACCCCGCTGGGCAGGGGGCGTAACTAGTTTGCCAGGTCTTGTCCCCGAGTGCCGCTGTCTGGGCGCCTGCCCGGTCCGTGTGTCCAGCTCCTGCCATGTCTGGCGATGGGGGGCAGCCTGCCCTGCCAGCCTGCCCTGTGGCCTCCTGCTGGTTCTGCCCTGCTGCGTGGCTTTGATTAGGCTCTGGAGACTTGCTGTCTGTACCCCGCCAGGCGAGGGCGCGCTGGCAGAAGGCAGGCTCCCCAGTCACGTGTGTGCATCTGCCCAAAGTCGATGGTCCCGTTTCCTTGCTGCCCTCCTGCCAGCGAGGGTGGGCGGGACTTTCTCCTCCCCGAGCCCGAACTGTGTGGAGGCCGCAGCCAGCCCTGAGGTCTGCGCCGGGGGGGGTGGGGGTGGGGGGCGGGGACCAAGTTGCTGGACACCCCCCTGATAACACAATTTCCTTGTTGAATAAAAGCTGGCACCACGGGCGTGGGCCAGCCGCCTTGCCCAGACCTCAGGCCAGGTTCACGGCACTCGGGTGGCAGGGACGGACCTGCGCCCTCGTGCCAGCTGTGGGCCTGTCTCCTGCGCCAGGCCCGGGTCTGGCTGGGCATCACCCGGAGGAGGCCGCTGCGTGGCAGGAGAAAGCAGGGCCCGGCGCCATCTTTCAAAGCGAACATTATTGTTTCCACCAGGGACATTTTTTCATTTTATTTTATTTCTCCCCGCCAGCTCCTCCCTCCGCCCCGCCCTGGGGAGCTGCTTTTAACAAAATGGAGTCAAATGACGCCAGGCCGGCCTGGCTGTGCTCGCGTCTGGTGATGAGTGACTGTGCGCGGGTTGCTGCGTGGAAACAGGCGCCTTTCACAGTCATCGCCTCGGGGTCCCGGAGTCCGGGAAGACGCCCTCGCGTTCACCCCTGGCGGCTGGCTTCTCCGGCGGCACCGGCTGAGGTGCGGCCCCGTCTCTCGCAGCAACCTGAACGGAGCAGGCTCAGCTTTGTCTTTAGGACGTGTGCGGAGACTTTCTCAGGGAGAGAGAGGGGAGAGGCCGGGAGGGGGGCGTCCACGTCTGGCGTGGCCCCGGGCCCCTGGGGCCTCCCTGGCCTGTGTAGGACGCTGCCCGGGGGCCTGGCAGGTGGCCTTGAACTTGGAGGCCTCCCCCAGCTGGTGGGGGCTGGAGTCTTAGCCGTGAGGACGCCTCTGCCGGGAAGGCCACGTGGGTCAGCTGAAGGCTCAGCCAAAAGGGCCAGGGTTCCCGGGAGGCGGGGTCTCTGCTGGTTGTCGGCCTTTGACTTGGGGTGCCGGAAGTCCCCCACCCCCCGAACCCGGTCTCCAGCCGCCTGCCCGAGGAGGTCAGAGTTGCCAACACCACCGTCCTGTGGGCTCGTCCCGTACAACGCTCCTCGGCACACGCCCTCTGGAGGCGCTCTGTGTGTGAGGGTGGGGTGGGCCGCCGCTCAGGCTCGCTGGAGGCCGAGGGCCACAGGGGTCTGGAGCCTCTCCTGCCGCGCGGGGGCTGCGTGGTCACGGGAGCATCTAGACGGCTGCAGAGGTTGGCGGCCATCACGCGTCTGCAGGAGGGAGAGGCCAGGCGGGCGGGGCCGTCCCAGCAGGAGGGGAGAGGGGCTCAGGCTGGGGACAGGCTGCGGGGGGCGCGGTGGAGGAGAGGCCCGCCGGCTGACCGTCGCCCAGAGCACCGGCTGCCCTCTGGGCCCCTCTGGGGTCCCGGGTAAGGGGTGCCCGGGGCCAGGAGGCTGCAGCTGAACAGCAGCGCTGAGGGGCTGTCCCTGACCCCGTGGGCCGCCGGCCGCCCGCACCATTGCTGCTGCGTCTGGGCGGCTGCGGGGACCGAGGCCCCTGGGCCGGGCAGCATGTCCGAGGTCAGAGAGACAAGAGGCAGGAGCCCCGGTCCTGCGGCGTGGGGCTCCCGGGTGGTGCCTCCGCCCGGGGTCAGGGGCGAGCCCCGCAGCCAGCGGCCCCTCCCTCCGCCCCACGCAGAGCGGCGGCCAGAGGCAGAGCAGGCGAGGGCCGGGCCGATCATCACCGCCGGGGCCGCTGTGGCGGGAGCCGGGGAAGCAGAGACGGAAATCAATGAGGATTTGGAAACAGACACTGTGGGAAACAATTTACTTCTAGAAGCCGTAGGGTCTGGACGGGATCCGAAGTCGGGGCCCGAGGGAGATCTGGGCCAGACCTGCCTCTCGGGGAGCCCTCCCCCTGTCAAATCTCTCCCGGGCCCTCCGCGGCCCAGAGGGCCTGGTCTCGTCCTCGGGCTGCGCGACCCCAGGACCATCCCAGGCTGGGGGCGGACGGTGGGCTTTGGGGTGACGGGGGAGGGGTGAGGACGGGCGGCCCACCAGGCGCTGGCAAGGTTCCCGGCCGGTGGGGGGACCCCGGCAGGTGGGGACGGCCCCGACAGGAGGCTGTGTCAGTGGCTCATTCACTCGTTCATTCATTCATTCACAGCTGTGTCTCGGGATGCCCTGGGGCAGGCACCCCCCACCCCGGGCGTCCCGGTCAAGGTCCCATCTGTGTTCCCAGAGCACAGCCAGCGCCCCAGGGACCGTCCTGAGGCAAGGGTGCCGGCGGAGCTGCGTCCGGCGCCTTCCCTGGCAAGCTGAGGGCGGCCCTGGCTGCCCGGCAGGCGTCCCCGGGGACAGATGCCCGACCTGGGGGGGGGGCAGGAGGCCCTCCTCTCTCAGGCGCTGCCGGGAGCCGCTCGCCGCTCCTCCTGCACCCCAGAGCCCCGGCGTGGGGAGATTTATGTCCCGAGGGGAGGGATGTCGCCGCTCTTTATGGCATATTAAGCTGATGAATGGGCACCCGTGGGGGCCACGCTGGGCGCGCCGCTGCCTCGCTGGGATGGAAAGCGACAGCCAGATTCCTGAGATGGATACCGGGGGGCGGCCGTCCGTCAGGGCGCAGCGCGGCGTTATTAGAGGAGATTAACCGAGCAGTTTTCCTGGAATAATAATATTTCTTAAGGGTTATGGATGAGCCCCGGTAGCTCCCGGCAGCGCCCGGAGGAGGCCCCACGGCGCCCTGAAGCCCCGCAGCCCTCGGCTTCCCGCGAGAGCTCGGTGCTGGCGCGAGACTCAGGCGCGCGCGGGGCAGGGGGCTGGGAAGCTGACGTCCAGGCGCCGGCCCGCACAGGTCATGACGGCACCCAGGCCGCCCGCAGCAGGCAGGGACGGGTGCCCGGGCTGGGGGCAGCAGCCCGGCGGGGGTTGGTCCTGCGGGGCCTTTGGGTCTGTCAGCCTGGCCTGGGAGGCTGGTTTGGGGGGGCGCCCTGCAGGGAATGTGTGGGTGTCATGAGTGGGATCTGGGGAGCTTTCTGCTGTGCGCAGGGGCTCGGTTTGGGGGACGATGCCCAGGAGGGGGCTGCCCTCTCATCACATAGCCCTACTGGGGGGAGGGCAGAGCCCGGGCTGGGGGCCGCCAGGTGCTGGCCCTGTTGCGGGCTGTGGAGCCCTGGCATAGGGCGGCGGGCGAGAGCTGGGGGGTCTTGAGCCCCCTTGAGCCCCAACATGAGAGACTGGGCTCTGGAATGTGTGAGGAAGGTCCTTGTGCCTGAGGCCAGGTCACCAGTGAGCCCTCTCTTGGGAGGCCAGTGTGGGGAGCAGGGATGTTCCCCATGGGGGTGCCAGCAGGGCCCCCCCATGGAAACCTCCCAGTCCCTGGGGCTGGCTCTGTGCGTGGGCCGAGGACCGGGAAGTCTGGCTGCTCGGGAGTGTGGGCGGAGGGTGCGCAGGAGCAGACCAGGAGCCCGGGCTGCAGCCGGCACGGGAGGGCGCAGGAGGCGGAAAGCTCTCGGGTGAGGGTGGCGGGTGGGTAGGGACGGGCAACATGTAGAGATACATGCCAAGCACACACACGCACACACACACACACATTCCTTTGTACAATGAGCAAGAGGCCAGTGAGCTCATTCATGCCCCCAAGATTCTTGGGGATACTGCAGGGCCCGAGGGACTCCCTGGGGGGAAAGCAGTGAGGGGCGGGCACCCACCTTCAGGGACTCCCTGCCCAGCGCAGCACAGTCTGGGGGAGCTGACAGTGCCCTGGGCCAGGGAGGGGGTGCCCAGGCAGCCGGAGGCCGCCAGCCTGTGGGGGTAGGGGGCCCACCTGCTGCAGGCAGGGCCTCGAGTCTGAGCGGGGCAGGCAGTTGTCCTGGGGGGCTGGGCGGCCTAAGCAGGCAATCTGGGGCCACTGCATGCAGCCTGGGCCCGTGGAGACCCGGCCCTGTGCAGCTCTGACCGGGAGGCCTTTGTCCACAGAGCCCAGCGGCTCCTGGCAGGGCCTGCAGGCTGGACCCGTAGGCCCACGTCTGCGATGCCACGGCCGCTCCACCTTCCCTCCAGCCGCCGGCTCCCGATGCGGCCCTGGGCTTTGCTCACCGGAACCCTGGCGTCTGCTCACCGCGGCCCTCCCCACGCCAGCTTCTGCCCAGAGGGCTGCGGTCAGCGAGCCAGAC